AATTTTTATCTAGGTCAAGGTCAAAGGTCAAAATCTAGGTCAAATCTAAGTTTTTTTCAAGTTTCTCAAATCCTGACACTACACTTAAATATTTTTGGCTGAATTTTTGCACACAGATAGATATTAGTATTCTATTAGTCTTAGCCTTTTGCCGTCTAGAGAAATTTTGCCTAGATTTTGAGATATTGAAGGTCAAAAAAAGGTCAAAAAAGGTCTTTTTTCAACTTGCTTCAAATTGACCAATTTTTTTTTTAAAACTCATCTACAAGTTCTCAGGATTCCAAATCTGACCTTACTTTTGACCTTTGACCTTTGGTTGACCTTCAGTGACCTCCGAAAGGTAAAAAAAGTTGATTTTTCAAATCGATTTTCTTGATTCAAATTTAGGTATATTTATTCACAAAAGATCTTCTGAGGTCTAAAAAAGTAAAATTTGCAAGGTCAAAGGTCAAGGTCATCAAACGAAATCACAAACTGTGTTTTCTAAGTTTCTCAAAATTGGAGACTACAAATCAATTTATTTTACTGAAAGTCAGAATATATATTCCTCTAAAGGTTCTACACATATTAGCAATTGACTATTTATTAAAATTTTGCTCCAGTTTTGAGATATTAGAACTCAAAAACTGAAAAAAGGTCAAATTTCAAAATTTTTCAAGGTCAAATTTCAACTTGCTCTAAATTGACCAAACTTTTTTTTAAAAAGCATCTACAAGATCTCAGGAACTCAAATCTGACCTTAGTTTTGAACTATGAACTTTAGTTGACCTTCAGTGACCTTCGAAAGGTCAAAAAAGTTAATTTTTCAAATTGATTTTCTGGATTCAAATTTAGGTTTCTTCAATCAGAAAAGATATACCGAGGTCTAAAAAAGTAAAACCTGTAAGGTCAAAGGTCAAGGTCATCAAACAAGATCACAAACTGTGTTTTCTAAGTTTCTCAAAGTTTGTGACTACAAATCAATATTTTTGAATTAAAGTCAGGATATATATTCCTCTAAAGGTTTTACACATAATAACAATTGATTATCTATTAAAATTCGGCACCAGTTTTGAGATATTGGACCTCAAAAACTGAAAAAGGTCTAATGTTGAAATTTTTCAAGGTCAAATTTCACATTGCTCCAAATTGACCAAACTTTTTTTTAAAAATCATCTACAAGATGCCTGGAGTTCATATATGTCCTTGTATTTAAGATTTGACCTTTGGCTGACCTTTAAATGTTCAAAAAAGCCTACGGGGCCTCCGTAAGATTGCTTGCAATCTTCTAGTTATGATCAGATTGCTGGGTAAACAGTCTGGTAGGCAGGCATTCTGATAAGTCTGGTCTACAGGTTTCCAGCCAAACCATTTGAGGGATTCATCTGAAATTTTCAGGGATGTTTCTGTGTATGAAACTCTAAAACTGATTAGTTTTTGGGAATTCTGGGTAAATGTTAAGGCAGCCCGTGTCTCGTTTTAATAATGCTCCACCACCCTGTGATGAGAAACATATCTTGTTTTCTTGGCCTATCCCACTGGCGGATCTGGGGGGGGGCTGGGGGCCTTTGGATGGGCCTAGACCTTTTTGGTCATTAGTGGGCTTTTTAAGGCCTTATTTTTTAATTTCAGGCCATATTTTGACGGGAATGGGCCTCAAACTGTGGGTCCACTTTGGGGTTTTAAGGGCCCAAAATCTTTTTTCTCTGACCTGAAATTTGGGCCCCTCCCCCCTTGTTGGTTTCCAGATCCGCCCCTGTATCCATGTTTGATTTACAACTCCCCATATGACGAGAAATTGTATCATTGTTCTGGATGATTTGAGAAAATAAGTGGTTGTGATTATATACATATAATTGAAATGGGAATTGGGACAAAAATGTAGTAAATAATATTAAAGAGACATTTATCTATGTTTAAAAAGACCTCGTTAACCTAGACCTTGTTAACTTAGACAGCCATATACAAAGAAAAAGTTTTCCATTCTAGCTTCTACATACAGGCCCATAACCAGATTTTGCCAAGGGGGAGGTCACTTATCAGAAAAATTCCAGGGGATTCACTTTGGAAAATTTTGCCTAAAATCAGCATTGTGAAAAACTGCATGATTTTGAAAGAATTCTCAGGACTGGCATAAAATGACCCAAAATCAATTTATCAAGGTTACATTTTTATTTTCATTCACTATCATTTTCAAATAGGATCTATCGATATACAAAAAATCACATATTCTTTAAACTAATTTATTGGAAGATTATTGAATCTCTAAGGATAAGAATTCCTCCATTTACTTTACGGATGACGAAATATGATTAATTGGTCAGATGTTTTCTTTGTGTGTCCAGTTGATAAATTAGTATACTTGATCGATTTGGCTAATTTTATTTTTCCTCATCCGTTTTTAAGGTTAACTCCAAATGTTTACGTAAACTAGATTCTCAATGTCACGTCTCGTTTTTTAATTAGATAGTCATGGCCCTCAAAGAACCCTATATTTGCCTCAAAGTACTTGTTGCCTCAGAGGTGATCATTTTGCCTCATTACTTACCACAATTTACCACAACATTATTTTCTACTTCATTGAACCCTTCCTTGAAAAGTTCTAGTGAAAGCCAATGACAGAAATTAATATATTGACTAAATGGCACTTAATTAATCATTTAAGGATTGACACTGTCTAATTAATCACTCGATTATTTATATTTAATTAATCATCAAAGTAGATTCAGACAAAATATAAACATAAAAAGATATGCTTTTGTTAAGTAGATTAATATTAACTACAACAGTACAAATAAAAGTACAAATGAAATGATTTTTAACATTAAAACCTGTGTACAGTGAACACCTATTGAGACACAAAATGTGTTCACTGTAGGTAGGTGTTCACTACAGAGAAGCAATTTTATACAGAACTAGATATGAAGTATATGCTGAGATGAGGTGTTCATCAGACTCAGGTGTTCACTAGAGAGAGGTGTTCACTAAGACAGGTTTTACAATGTATAAATGAGTTGGTAAAATCTGAAATGGCCCCTTGTTATTATTGCATGTTAGGTTTATTTTATTTATTAGTGTTTTATGTTTTTGTTCATGTTTTTAATGTAAAATAAAGTGGAAAAGTGTGGAATCAACAAGTAATAAAGTAAACAGGCATGAAGTCAACACTTTAAATTGTATAGAAACGTGAACATACTAACTAACTAAATACTTCATTCAAATTTTAGAGAGAAATAGAGTAGAATAGTTAAAAACAGAAGTTTGGGGAAGGGGTTGGGTGAAAAGTTAGAATTTTTATGAGTGTTATTCACTCATTAATTGATAGACCTCACCCTCCTGTTTCTTATTAAAGCATATGAACACTTTTACCAGAATGGGAGGGGAACAAATTCAGGATTTTGATACATTAGACTCCCTAATGTGGACATTATGCAGCATTCGGAGGTTTGCATGTGACCCCCCCTCCCCCAAGCTTGTAGGGTTGGGGATTTGGACAAAATATAAATTAGGATCTCAAATTGCTGGCCTAGTGAGTCAAGATCCCAGTCAAGGAAGCAATAATAAAGGAACACATGTTTTCAAAACCTTTGAATGGTATTATACCTTTGATCCTGATTATTTTTACAAATGTAAGTTGTGACCTTCAATGTGGTTTTTACCAATTTATCAAATGGTCAGATTGCTTTAATTGTATTTTTTTAATTTATATTTTATTTAATTCATTTTCTGGTGAAATAGGACATATTTGTATTTGAGCTTTATTGAATGTTGCGTTGTTATGTATTATACATGTACACCCCCCCCTCCAAAAGATTGGACTCCCTATTTGATGAAGCATGTATATTTTATGGTTTTTCATCAATAATATTAGATTAGGTCAGAATATGACCCAAATATGATTTAAACATGTAGTATAGTTGTTTTGTGTCATGTCAGAATATTCTTAGTTATTTCTTTTCATTATGCTTTTAATACAAAGATGGTTCATGGCATATTGATAATGACAATGTTCTCCCTAAGATTTTTACAAGTGGGTGCAGAATTCTCATTTTCATGATTTAAATCAAAGTTGATCATATTGATTGCTTTTTCATATTTGGGTAAAAAAAGTAAAATTTGTTTTCAGTTGGGTGTAATCCTATTTTTTCAATGCCAAGTTAGTGTTGCAATAGTGTTTCAATACTTGCGTGAAATGATGAGTTTGGTAAATTCGGCTACTTTTTCATAAAGCATCAATGTACAGAAGAACCTGTTAAAGTGAAACACCCTTTGTTTTCTTTGTGGAATGTTCAACTGTGAAAAATGTTCTACTTACAGTTCTTTAAGTGAAAAAGGTATTCCACTTTACAAAGGTGACATCTTTAATTGAGAGCTTTAATCAAAATGGTGTCAATTTTGAACAACTGACATGATCATCATTTTTATATGATAAAACTGAGTGTTAAACAATACATAAAATAATGGGACATATTTATTTAGTATAATAACAGGGAAAATAAAGTCAACACTCTAAATTGTATAGAAATCCAAAGCCATTCAAAATTTAAATATGAAAATGTTCACTTCTACACGTAGATTGTAACTTTTTATAAAATCAATCTTAACCCATGAGTCACATTACCTGTTAACTACTGTTAGCAATATTTTCTCAGGTTTAGTTTTATAACTCTTAGCACTTTGTCTCATTTTATCAAGACTTCAAAAATAATTTAACAAGAAAATATAATTTTTTATTGGGATAAAGTTGCCTTATTTGTCAACTGTAACAAAATTAATTTTGTTTTAGTGTAGTATTGACTTCACTCGGAAATTCAAGTAAAAGTCAAATCAGGAAATCAACATTTTAAAATCGAATTTCATTATTTACATTATATTGAATTGTAAGACTGACCACTATAAATAAATAAATAAATATATGTGGAGGAGGGTTAAACCCAGAATTAAATAAATTTTTCACTTTTGACAATAGGACAAAATAATTATTATATTTTTTACCAAAATATATATTTTTCTTTTTTCAGGTATGTTTTTACAATAGTGAGTTATCTGATTGGTGTCTTCGTATTTGCTACAATTGTTGGTGAGTACAAAGCAAAATTTCATATTGGTCATTCGTAACTGAAAATCGGGTATTCCTTTTAAGAGAAAGAACTATGATGACTTTAAAAATGAACAAACTACATGTATATATATTTTATTGAAACCAGTTTAGAAACACAGAAATTATGTCAAATTTAGGAAACATTTGTAACCAATACGATTTCTCTATTGAACAGGTCAAGTAGGCAATGAGAATCCTTTATTTTATGAATGCTCTACTTTACAGGTCAAGTGGGCAATGTGATAACCTAAAAGAATGCTCTATTTTACAGGTCAAGTGGGCAATGTGATAACCAATAAGAATGCTCTATTTTACAGGACAAGTGGGCAATGTGATAACCAATAAGAATGCTCTATTTTACAGGTCAAGTGGGCAATGTGATAACCTAAAAGAATGCTCTATTTTACAGGACAAGTGGGCAATGTGATAACCAATAAGAATGCTCTATTTTACAGGTCAAGTGGGCAATGTGATAACCAATAAGAATGCTCTATTTTACAGGTCAAGTGGGCAATGTGATAACCTAAAAGAATGCTCTATTTTACATGTCAAGTAGGCAATGTGATAACCAATAAGAATGCTCTATTTTACAGGTCAAGTAGGCAATGTGATAACCAATAAGAATGCTCTATTTTACAGGACAAGTGGGCAATGTGATAACCAATAAGAATGCTCTATTTTACAGGTCAAGTGGGCAATATGATATCCAATAAGAATGCTCTATTTTACAGGTCAAGTAGGCAATGTGATAACCTAAAAGAATGCTCTATTTTACAGGTCAAGTGGGCAATGTGATAACCAATAAGAATGCTCTATTTTACAGGTCAAGTGGGCAATATGATAACCAATAAGAATTTTCTATGTTACAGGTCAAGTGGGCAATGTGATAACCAATAAGAATTCTCTATTTTACAGGTCAAGTGGGCAATGTGATAACCAATAAGAATGCTCTATTTTGCAGGACAAGTGGGCAATGAGATAACCAATAAGAATGCTCTATTTTACAGGTCAAGTAGGCAATGTGATAACCAATCAGAATGCTCTATTTTACAGGTCAAGTAGGCAATGTGATAACCAATCAGAATGTTCTATTTTACAGGTCAAGTGGGCAATGTGATAACCAATAGGAATGCAAGCAGATTAGAGTTTGAAAGACTATTGGTAAATATAAATGATCTGTAGATTATATTATACTCCATCTCATAGGATTCATGACTCAAGTTGAAAACATTTTTGCCCATTCTAAGGTATTGGCATTTAGTCCATTGCCCATTGGAATTCATTTTTCAAGCTCATTGCCAAGACTGAAAAAATGATTACCATTCGCAGTCAGGGCTCTGTAAAGTTTGAACCCTGTACTCAGATAATACACCACTGCTAGTTAAATGTTCAATCCAATACACCCTATATCTTATATTTCAGGATGGTGCTAAAGTATATATGAGAACGCACAATGTTCCCCCAGATATGCAACGCAGGGTACAACGCTGGTATGACTATGCATGGTCAAGGTAAGAATCAATCATCTGCTATTGTTTGTTGACAATGCATTATCAAATTTCTAAAAAGCTTTATCTAAATCTCAGTTTATAAGTTTTAACATTTGACATTTGTTGTACAGTATATTTTTTGTCTATGCTCAGGGTCATAACCCCAAATTTGGTGTTCGGTGGTCAATGTATGTAACAAATGTAACAAATGAGAGGTGTTGACATTTTGTTTTGTCTATTGCTTATCCAGAGACTAGTAGCATATAGCACCCTTTGATAAAAATAAACAATTTAGAATTCTAAAAGAATATATTAAGATCTTTAAAAGAGTTATTGTTTATTTTGTACAATTAGATTTGTCGAGTTATTGTGTATATATACAGAATTATTTTATATTTGTAGAGGACGTATGAATGGTGGAGGAGACATCAATTCACTGGGACTTCTTCCAGATAAACTCAAAACAGAGCTGGCTCTGCATGTAAACCTTGAGACATTAAAAAAGGTACTCTGACTTTTGAATTGTCCAGGGTTGCTATATTATAGAAGGATAAATAGTTGGCAGTCATACTTTTATGTCACCACCAGAAGTGTTGAAATATTGTTTAAGTCTCCAACTTTTTTATGGATGACGATTGGCATTCAGCGTTTGGGATCTGCAACAAATTCTTACAACTGGTGGTGACATCTTTTCATGTTAATGCTTTGTCTATGCTATATACCATACATTGTTAGTTATTCATTTTTGTCTAACAGGTTCTACAAAAGAATATAACCACTTGTTGAACTAATTCTGAATGATTCTATTTAATATAACGAATGACTTAATCTAAAATAATCACTGACTTTATTCCATATATAATCATTGACAATTGCTTATTTACTTACTAATCACTAACTTACATTTCAGGTGACCATCTTCCAGGAATGACTTAATCTAAAATAATCACTGACTTTATTTCATATATAATCATTGACAATTGCTTAATTTACATAATCCCTAACTTACATTTCAGGTGACAATCTTCCAGGAATGTGAGCCTGAGTTTCTTCATGACCTTGTACTCAAAATGAAAGCATTTATATTCACTCCTGGTGATCTGATATGTCGCAAAGGAGAAGTAGCAAGAGAAATGTTTATCATTGCAGATGGCTTGCTAGAAGTTATAAGGTTGGTTGCTAGAATTAAATTGGAATAATGTGATACACATTTGGGGGTGTAGTTGAGTACATGTACTAATATGTGATTTTTCTTGGGGGATGTAATATAGACCTTATCTGGTTGAACTTCATTTTATTGAATTTATCTAATGTGTTATTCCTTCAATATTTAATGATACACAATTATTAATATCTTCACATGTTTTGATTTTTGATAGTAGTCATGTAATATCAAGTTCTAGGCTGTGCAATAGCCCTCCTGTATTTCTCTTATATTTAAAATAAATATATGAAATCAAAAAACTTTCCTATATTACATGTATTTTCAGTGACTCCGGTGAAGTTCTGACTCAGATGAGTGCTGGTGATTTCCTTGGTGAGATTGGTATCCTAAATCTTGATGGAGGTGTTAACAGGTCAGCATCTCTCTTAAAGCCGCCATGAAATGTGAAAATATTGTTTTATCATCAATCTTTTTCTTCTGACTTTAAAGAATTGTTTGATATAATGGAAGCAGATCACTTCTAATAAAATATGTTGTAGTGGTCTTTTCAACATTAGATTACTGTTTGCTAAATACCTATCATTATTGTCATCAAAATGCCAGGGAATAGACTATAGAAGCCACTCACACGTTCAACTTGAAATTCAAGAGCAGATGAATGCAAGAATCTAATAAGGTTTTTTGCATGCTGGGTAAATTACTTGGCATTTTGATGTTTTGATAAAAAATTGTATATTTATCACCATGTGCCATGTTTCATATCTATGACTATTTCAAGTATTATTCAGTTATTGTGATTGTTTATTTTGAAGACGTACAGCAGATGTGAGATCAGTTGGCTATTCCGAGTTGTTCACACTTTCCAGAGAAGATGTATTGGATGCTCTTAGAGATCACCCACAAGCTGAGGTACAGTTGAATAATTTGAGTTTAGATTCATACACTGGTTATAGAAGGGGGGTCTATAGTGGGGTCCCACAAGCTAATGTACAGTTTAATAGTTCAAATTGAAATTCACAATAGGTAGGGGGTCTAGAAGGGTCCCTCCATACTCATTTCCCAGTTTGATTTTCAATCAATATGAAAACATTGTACCTTGGAAATCCAAGATGAGGTCCCACAAGCTGAGGAACATTTAAATAATTCAAATAGAAATTCACAATAGGAAGGGTGGTTAGTGGGGTTCAGTAACCTGAGGTACATCTAAATAATTCAAATTGAAATCTACAATGAGAAGGGGTCTAGTCGGGTCCCACAAGCTTAGGCACAGCTAAATAATTCAAATCGAAATTCACAATAGAAAGGGGGCTAGTAGAGTCACACAAAAATTCACAATAGGAAGGGGGATGACTGTTTGGTTCCATAAGCTAAGGTACAATTAAATAATATGTGAATTTAATAAAGTTGCACTATCATGCACATTATATAACATAATATCTGCTACTGTTATATTTTGTCAAATTTTTCTTGTCGCTTCGAGTAAGTTAAGTTAAATGAAATATGCAGTTTCCCAAATTTCTTATATGTATTGAATACTCCTTCCATTGACTTTCATCTCATAAGTCGTATGATATGTATGAATTGTCATTTCCAAAAGGCAATGATGATTTTTTTCAAAGCTCTGATATTTACATAAAACAAAGTTTCCAACTAAGTCTATTGATGTTACAAGATACATATTATTCTGAATTTTTAGAAATTTGGTGTATTTTAGAAGCATTTACATGTATATAGGCACTGGGTTCTTTTTACTGGTGATAGAATTTTCAATGGCCAGTCAATGGAGGGCAGTATAATTTCTTTCATGTTTAATTATCATAATATGTCAGTCAAAAGCATGCTTCATTTTAAAACTAATATCAATTCAATATATATAATAACTTTCAGGTTATCATTTTTACTACTTCTTAATACTAAGATTGTAAAAATGTAAAATGTCCCTCTTGTAGTTTGCATGTTGAAAATAATGTTATCCCATTTACTATTTATGTGAATAAAATGTCACAATGGATCATATAGCCTTAGCCACATAGCATTAATGAGGGAATGTGGGTGACTTTAGAATTATAACCAAATGTTTGGTTAACATGGTGAACCCATTGACTTGCTCCCATTCTCCAATCTGTATATCATCTCTTAACATGCATTACAAAGATTGAATAAATGACATTCTGATTCAACAATGAATTTATGTCTAATGTGCTACACAAAGCCAATCAATTTGTAATGTCTATCCCTTTTTTGTCTGTTCATCCTCCTTTCCAATTATCAACAGTTTCTTGACAAATGAAAGCCTTCACCTGAACTAACTCATATTCATTTTTTGGGGATTTTTAATGCTAAAAATTAACACCATTGATTCTGGCCCCTACTTTTGTCATGTTTTGGAGAGGCCAGTTTTGATGTCACCACCAGAATTGATGACCATATTATTATAGTCTCAAAATTTTTTGTGAACGGCGATTGGTTTTGGCGATCAGTGTCTATGACAAATTCTTGGCGTCTGTAACAAAATCTTTGAGCTGTCTGTAGCAAATGGCAGTTGGTGATATATCGCATGTTAATGGCTTGTCACTAAATGTTGAGGTTTTTGGCAATTAAAACATTGATTTTGAAGTGTGACCATTCTGACATTTTGTTGAATGCTTTTACATGTATTTTATTCTGGGTGAGAAGCATGTGCATGTTATCTTTATATCTCATTCAATTATAGTTTCAATATCCATGCATGACTTAACCAATCAGAGTATCCTATAACTTGCATGTGGTGTGTCGCACGAATCTGTACCATTTATTTTTCGTGACATGTGTTATTTCTGTCACCAGGCAACCCTGATAGAATATGGCAAAAAACGTCTTACCAAATTCAATATGGGAAAATCAGATCAAAACTCATCCAGTTGTACAAGTGACGATGAACGGGACACTGATGATGTTATTCAAAATGGCTGCCATTCCATGATGCCTCTCGTACCCTCTATTGAAGTGTCAAAATTCCATAGTCCTTTTGAACCAAGGTAACAAATCCAAAAATGCATGTTGGTACTTTTATAGGACGTTTCATGGTAGCATAGTAAAGATCCTGTCATTCTTTGAGCATTATTGATAAAGGGATGCATAATGAAGCTTATTTTAAGAGGATCTCCCCCAGGAGATGTGGTTTCTCTCTCCTGAAGGAGCTCACATTCAAATATTTTTCTCTGAGCATGGCTTTGTTTTTATAAGAAGTTTGAGTTTTGGTGCACATACTTGATCTAAGCATGGTTGTTATGCAAAATACTTTATCATTTATTTTTCAAGAATACAGGAATTATTGTGATCACAATATTGATTACATGTACATTTGATGATTTTTTCATTTTAATTATGTTGTTATGTCTTTACTTTGTTCAAAATTTCATTTATTTGTTTTTTTACATTTTAGTTTTAAACCCTGTGTGTATTTTTGTGTTGTTTACTTTTCTTGAGAGTAGAATTTTTAATAGAGGGCGTACTGCACAGACAAAATGTCACATTTCACATATTTTAGGAACCATTCGTTCATTATACCTTTTAAAGGGCATTCAGTATTGAGAATGCATTCAAATTTTTACAAAGTATACCATTTTTGATGAATTTATACCACAAATTTCAGGCCCGTAGCCAGGATTTGCCATCGCCCTGTTTACTTTTAGATTCCAGGGGGGGTTCACTTGTGACAATTTTGGTCCAAATATGGCCAATATTAATCACTTAAACAGTGCTCAGAATGGTGAATGGCTCAGAAAACTGCATGATTTTGAAAGATCTTTTGGCCAGGGGGCGAGGGGTTCACTCGAACACATCGAACCCCCCTGGCTACAAGCCTGATATTGTTCCAACAAATGGTTGTCACCAAAAGTTTCCCATTCACTATTGTTTCTTGTTTCAAACTCAACCATTGTGACATTTTATATGCATTTTAGGCCCAAATAGTTTGGTAGAGCCATCTATCTTGTATTTATTGTTCTTCAGTTTGGCATATTTCAGTTTGTCCTTTCAGTTTGTCCCCTTTGCAAATTACTTCTTTGACTATATGCTCATTTATGATATCATCACACAATATTTGAATCGAAATTTAGATCTATTTTAGGATTTATGTTTGTACACCTTATTTATACATTCTGTTGAATGTCCGTCTTGGTTTCACATATTTTGTGATGATATTGAAATTTAACAAAATGCATTGGTGATCATTTTTCAAAATTTTGGATTTTTTTCATTTTGAGTTTGTATACAATAATGTACAATAAGCCCTGCATCGCCCTGAAAGTTGCATAATGCACCTCAATACCCAAACATTTTGCACCAATTGCTCCTCATTTAGATTTGAAACATGGTCTCCATAGCATTTTAATTGAGGGATAAGTCAAAGTACTATACTGTTTTAGAATTAGTGTTTGCTTTACCTATCAACTAACATGGTCCATTTTCAGACCCTTATCAAAGAATACGGCAATCGTAGGTTACGGGAAATGGAATCCAGGAAGAAAAAGCAATCCCATGATCCTTTGCCAACAGTTCCTGAGGACGTCTTGGCAGCAATCGGGGAAGGCATTGGTGGGGAGGCAAAATGTAATTCTCCGCCTTCGTCTCCTTTACCGGAGTACCGTAGACGTAATATGCGTAAAAGTTCGTCAACTGAATTGATAAGGACAGTGCTTGCAGAGGCCAAACAGGCTCGATTAGCACGCCAGCTTTCTGCTGATGGTTCCGCCAATAAAGCACACTCTTTTGGGGACCTTAGGGAGAAATTCAGTCGATTGAGCAGGCGGTTGAGCACAAGGCGCGGAGGCAGCAGGTCCAGTACACGAATCCCGAGAAAAACACGTCAGTATGGTGGCAGGGAGTATTTATCTGTGGGATCAGATGAAGAAGATCAACATAATCAAAATGCAGACAACACTTCCCAGAATAATGACCAAATCACTATTAAAATTGAAAACTCTCTAAGCGATTCTGAAAGGGATTATGAAATCCTTCCAAGTATTTCTGCGAGTTTGACCCATAGCAAAAGTTGTGAATATTTAGGTGTATGGCCTGACAATACAGGACAATTTACGCTCGCAACCGTAGATGAAACAGAATCTGTTAACAGCCTTTTATCCATATCAGAAAACCAGAGTAGCGGTTCAGCAGTGAATACTATCTCAACTCTGATTGTGCCAAATGAATATGTCTTCAAATCCAAAACATCTGACAATACTAACAACCTCAGGTTACTACTAGGCACATGATGAAACATTTATGACATCTGAGATTTAAAAATTATCAAAAATAAGTAAGAATAGTTCAAATTTTACCAACCAATATATTTTTCTCAGAAATAAATGTAACAACTTTTCTATTTTATATCAAATCCCAAATTATTCATAAATACTTATTTTTGTAAATTATGTTTTTTAACATTCAGTCAAATCAATTTATGAAAAAATTCACAAAAGAACAAATTATAGTAATGATGATAATTTTGAATCTCTGGTTTCATAACTGTTTCTTATATTTTTCTATGTTGTGTTTTTTGTGATATAATTCAACCAACATGATCAAAATCTTATACACAAGCATGTACTCTCATTTCTGTATTTTACCTGGACTGGAAGTAAGCTTATATTTCGTTCTGCATAATACAAAATGGTCATGGTCAGGAATGCTTACATGTACAGTAAAACCTGTATAAGTGGAACACCTTTGGTACCTCTAAAAAGTGTTCAAACTGATTTTTCTTTTTCTTTATTATAGAAACGAATCACCTAATCGTTCTGGTATTTATTTGAAAAACATATCAAAGCACAACAGTAAAGTAAGAAAGGAAATACATAAAGGCAAAAGACGACAGTCAGATTTTTTAATTGTTGTAAGAAGTACTTAAATACAATTCAGTCAAAGTATTAAATTGTATACCCATATTTTCACTCTGTTTTTTCTCATTTTAAATACCAGAAAGCACAATTAAAGGGAACACAAAGGGAGAACAATATCAGCTGACTATTTTTGACATTTTTATTGTTTTAATGAGTTAATATTTAAGGTCCTTCGACAAACTGCTTGACAGCTTCTCCCAATCCTGACCATTACTGTTTATAAAATGCTGCTTTATTACACATATCTGAGAATGACATTTTGATCATCATATTGTTCATCCCAAAGCTCATAATTAGGGATATAGCAAAGGCCTCAGTCTGTAAGTCAGTTTGTCTGTCTGTGGAATGACTACTGTGATTATTATACATTTATGGTGGACATACACTGTAGTTGATAATTTGAATTATTTGAAACCAATGTAAAAGGTACTACTTTTCAATTGTTGATGTCCTTAGTTTTTAGGTACAAGTCCAAACGGGCCTGTAGAGGGAAGGTGGAAAGGGCAATTTCTGTTAATTTTGAAATCACTCATAAAATCTGTCCTGGTATCATTATCATACTCAAATTAAAAGTATTTTGGAGGAAGTTGTAAATACTATTTTGTTTTTGAAAATCAAAATTGGCCAGCTACATGTAGACAGACATTTATTCAAAGTTTGGCTTAAATTAATTCACAATGATAACTCAAATTAGGTGTTATAACAATAATGTTCAGATTCTTGAAAACCTTGATAAAGGGAATCATTTCTTGATCGGGGAATTGTTTGTCGGGATTTGTTACGTCTTGGAATTTCTACATCAAGGCCTTTAATTTCTGACATATTTATTATTTTAATTCTTGATTTGTTAATTCCCTTTTTAAACAAAATCTCAGTTGTATTTTTGCTTATCTATAGCATTGTTTGATTGCATAGCATAGCAATTTTGTTTTTCTTGTTTTGATGCATTACGTTATTTATCATTCAATCAAGTATTGAACTACTGAAAGGGACAAGGTCAATATGTAGATGTTCACCAAAATAATTACATTTTACAAATATTTCCCAAATCCACCGAACCACCAGAAAATGGCATTTTTGAATTTTCTAAATTAAAATATGGCATTCATTGATATAATGACCTTGTCCTAAACATGAACGCTTTTAGTTAATATTACTTTTTTATTTTATTTATAAATCTGTTTGGAATATGTCAAGAATATTTCTTCTTTATACAACAAAACATTTCGTTTCAAACAGATCATTAAAATCAAAAAATTGATTAAGTCACAACTTAAACTACATTGATGAAAAGTGAAAAGAGCAATATTTGGTCTCAATAATAGAAACTTTGCTTCTTATTTGCAATTTATGTTTTTATAATTACATACTTACATTCAGATAACAATGATTTATATACAGGGTGTCCATAAAGTGTCTACAATTACAATACAAAGTCTTTGAAATTATAGAGACTTTATGGACGCCCTGCACATTGTACTCATACACTAATGTTAAGCTTATTTTGATTTTAGCCCCTCAAATGTATCGCATCCTAATAGTAATGAGGTTCGTATTGAGATGAATGCAATGAATAACTCAGGATCTGGGATTGGCGTAATACGACAAGACTCAGGGGTACAGACAGAATACTCAGACAAGTTAGTATTTTTTGGATGTTGCAATTTCTATGAAATACAGGGTGACACAAAAAGATGCCACATAGTTAATGTTTGATATAGGACACATCTTGTTACCACATAAAAGTGCATCTAGTTGAACTAGTCATCTGAAACGTCTTGTGGAGTTGCAACACAAAGTCTTGCTAGTTTTAATGTGCTCAAGATCAAGTGTGGATTTGTGCAGATAAAGAAAAGTTATGCAGCATTATGTGGATAGGTGGCATTTTTTGAGTCACACGGTTTTCAGTAAAACCTGTAAAATAGAATAGAATGATTTAGTAAGTGGGAAAACTTAATTTAATTGATTACTTGAAAGTCCAGTTGCCCATTACATTTAAGTGTACATCAGGCCTGTAGCCAGGGGTGAGGGTTGGGGATTTCAGCAAAACTTCTTTCAAAAACATTCAGTTTTCACCATTATGAGCACTATTTAAGTGCATTTGGGCCAAATTCTCAATTGTGAACCCCCCTGGAATTTAAAAAAAGTAAAACCTCTTGGCAAAAGGTGGCTATGGGCCTGTAAATTATGCCTGGATTGTTCTTTTTAATGTTCCCTATATCTGTTGATAACCTAACAGTCATTCAATATAATTAAATGTTTATGTTTCATTATTATGTTGTAGAAATTCAAACAGTTCTTCCATGCTACTGTTGACCAGTAGAACAAATAGTCTAGACTCAGACCCCCCGGGAGATGAACCAATCTGTGATATAATGGCAGGAATGAAGCAGCTTCTGCATGGAAAATTGGTAGGATTCTTACAGGGTGTCCCAAAAAGATGAACTGAGTCAAACATGGAATAAAAATGAGTAATGAAGGAATAATGTTAAATGTAGAACTTCAGCCACCTTAAAGACAATTGATTAAAAAAAATGTCGTAAAGTTTTATGATCACAAGCTAACTTTCTTTAGTTTAAGAGGAAAATTTGTTTCAGTATCATCACCTATTTTTTTCCATGTTTTTGTGACACCCGATAGTAATTAGAAGAATTAATCAAATAAACCTTTTGATGTAGCTGTACAATAAAATATATTTTGGACTGGAGAGGATGTTTTTCGTAGAAATTCTAATAATAAATTACTATTTGAGTTAAGAGTGTTGCCTAAAGTAAATATTTATTTTTGAAAAAAAACTTATTGAACATGTTTTTGTCAAATTAGATTATTCTCTCAAATGATTGCTTAAAACTAGTTTTCTTGTATTTTTAGGAAGCTTATCAGAGATTATTTGAACAAAAGGTTCGGCATCTAGAAGAGGATAACCTCCGTAAAAATGAAAAGATAAAATTCCTTGAATCTAGAGTGCAAAGTTTACAGGTAAAAAACATTGTCAAAATGATATTCAACACATATTGTGTTTTTCTCAATTAAAGTTTTCAATTAGTGAAAGCAATCAGGAAAATCTTTAAAATTGCAAACATGAAGTATATAAATTTTTGTAGATCGAATGTTCAACTGGCAGAGGACATTATATTTTATCTTTGCTTTTCATGTTTACCTTGCAGATTTCCTTTTATCTATTTAGTTTATGTTTTACTTACAGAGGGCCCTAGTTTGGAAAGGCGGTGTATCACCATCTAGTGCTCCAGATAACCCACAGCCAGGAAATAACTGATATGCCTATTATTAGAGCCTTGTGCTCGGGACAGTATGCACAATCATAGACAATATAAAACAATCAGTATTCAATTAATAAGATGTCTGGAACATACTAGAAATCAGTTGATTTGAGAACAAAAATGAACTTGAAAAATACAACACTTGTAAATTAAATCAATAACAATGCTTGGATAAGATGTCTAGAACATACTAGAAATCAGTTGATTTAATTTTGAGAACAAAAATGAGCTTGAAAAATACATTTGTAAATCAAACCAATAGCGTTGCTTGGATAAGATGTCTAGAACATACTAGAAATCATAATAGATTGGAGACGAAAATCAGCATTAGAACCACAAAATTTTAAAATCAAACCAATAGCATTGCTTGGATAAGATGTCTAGAACATACTAGAAATCATAATAGATTGGAGACGAAAATCAGCATTAGAACCACAAAATTTTAAAATCAAACCAATAGCATTGCTTGGATAAGATGTCTAGAACATACGAGAAATCATAATAGATTGCAGCTTGAAAACACATTGTAAATCAAAATGATATACGGATAGGTTTAATGAGCATAGGAGAACAACATGTGGGACTGGGTGAAATTCGAACTTAATGTGCAAAATTCTCTACTTTCCATAACATATATACTTTCAATTACATTAACAATTATATTTTTGATGTTTTCCATATTGTTAATGCTATGGTTATGGTCAAATTATATAAATGAGAAATCTTACCAATTGTCATTGATTTGCAGCTACATGTACATGTACCCTAATTTCCTTGATACAACTTTGATTGAAAGATTTTCTGTCAGAAATAATAATATTTGGTATAAAAAGGGCGAATATGTTAAAGGATATTCTGTTTTAAAAAGACTCTTAGCTTTGAAATCATTTGTTCAACTTGTAGATGTTTGTGAAACAATCTAAACATAACTTTGTCAGGACTGTAGCCAGTTTTGCCAGGGGGGTCCATATTTTGTTTAAAAATCCAGGGGAAAGTTCAGACTTGAAATCTTTTGAAAAGTCATCAAAATGGTGCAAATCTGCATCATAATTAAATAATTTGGTTGAGGGGGCTCACTCCAATCCCCCACCCCCCCCCCACACTCCTGGCTATGGGACTCACTGTGTATTATTTTACATACTTTAAATAGTATAAATGAGTGGTATGATGAGTTACTGCATGTTGGTCTAATGAATAATAATTTTGTTCAGATGTAAAAGCTTACATCATTTTGTTCAGATGTAAAAGCTTACATCAGTGAGTAATCTTTGATAATGTACATTTATGTATTAAATAATTGTATATAAATGTAAATAAAATTTATATTTCATTTGAGGTATAAACATTGCATTTAACATAATTGAGGATAAGAGGCTGGTTTTATGTCAACTTATAATATTTACATTGTGATAAACTCAACACAATAAACACTGTATACAATAAACATTGTATACACACTGTATACAATAAACATTGTATACAAGAAAGATTGTATCAGTAATAACACTCAGTCAGGTATAGTGACATTTCATGATTCTTTTGTTTTTGCATTTTGTCAATTTTGTCATTGTCTTTGGAATTTTCTTAGCCATTGTATTGTTTCATCAATATAACTTTTGCATCAGTTTATATTTTAAATGATTGTAATGCTTTTTGTATTAAGTACTATTTAAATTGTTTTTCTAATTTTGGGACTGAAACAGTAATTTATTATACACTTTAAAATATGTCATATGTGCCTTGTTGATTATAGGGTTAAGATAATAATGCATTGTTTACTATGTACTGTACAATTGTATATTGTACATACACTGTACAATTGTATATTGTACATACACTGTACAATTGTATATTGTACACTTACACTGTACAATTGTATATTGTACTTACACTGTACAATTGTATATTGTACGTACACTGTACATACAAATATCAAAGATGTTATACATACACTGAACATTGTATACAATATACTGTACAATTGTATATTGTACATACACTGTACATTGTATACAATGTACTGTACTTGTAAATTTGAATTTTTGTACACTTCTCATGTCTTAATCATGTTAAATTGAGGCTAAAACTGTAATTTATTGTATACTTTTTACATGTACAGCTGTCATCATGTTATGCATATGAGCAGTTTTTAACTTCTTAGGTTGATGCTATTTATCTACAGAACTTTCTTCATGTATTTTGTCAGCAATTTAGAGACATCTGTACAGTGCAAATGGATTTCATTCAGTGTTTTCGTTAATCCTTAACTTTAAAATGTACTCAATGAAAAATAAAACAATAAATGAATGGATACGTAAATAAATAAATTATAAACATTATGTTGATATTTTAGAAGAGGAAACAACCATTGTATATTTGGAGACAGTAATTTAATGATTTAGGTAAAATGCAAATATTAATATATCATTATCAATATTTGACTCCAAATTACACTTAGCCTTCAGTATACTGTATGACCACGCACTCAATAACCGAACCTCGTGCAATTCTATTCAAAGGTACTTAACAATGTTCATGGTCAAGGGGAGTTCATCTTTCAGATAATGACCTTGGGTTAATGGCGTTCTTAGTTCTTATATAAATGTCATTAAACAATGGCCATTACTTAATTTTGAGATCTTTAGCAAATACAAAACCCAAAGTGATAGTTATATGAAAGTCCATTGAATTACTTGCTTATTCTATACGGCTGACTTGTGTCAGATTCATAATACTGATATCCACGCGTTTACTTATTAGTAATGGTCAATATTTCGAAACCAAGCAAATATTATTCTAAATCAGTGTTAATCTTGGTAAATGCGTACTAAGTGTAAGGTACATGTAAATCGGCATGTAAAGTCAACACAAGTGTTAAGTTGATTAACCTTGTTGAATTTTCGTATGAACTTGAAATAAAAATGATTAATAAAAAAATGTAAATCGGCACGATTAGATATTTTATTTTATGCTGGTTGATTGTATGTGAGCCCGCCGACTTCATTCAAGCAGTAAGTAACCTTCTCCATGTGGATCGCGTTAGCCAAAGGAGTGGTATCGATATGGAGAACCTTTTGAACACACGTTTCTCTTAAACCAGACATAAAAAATCTAAAAATTTAACACATCGTCAATTTAATGGTCATATTTTGAATGCTAACAATATAATTTGAAAAATACTTTCATCTATATTGTTTTAGAAAACACATCAAACAATTGTTTTGTTCTTGGTATCATGTTTCCAGAGTGAAATGAAACATCTTTCCCAACCTCATTGGAACAAAACGACCTAAATACAACATATTTAGGTCTCTCAATATTGTAATTGTACAAAGGAAATTTTGGTTGATTTTAAAAAAGTATCTTGTTAATGAAATAAAAGGTTTATCTTGATTTTTATCTATTTTGGGGGGATTTTGTTTTAACCTTTTGAATACTTTTTTTAAAAATCAACCAAAAATTCCTTTGTATAACTATAACATTGAGAGGTCTAAAAACATGTTGTATATGCTCTTTTGTTTCAACAATTCAAGGTTCGGAAAGACATTTTATTTCATTCTCAAGAATTGGTAGAAAGGGGCAAAAAACAGTTATATAAAATATTTCTAAATAATTTTCGCGTTAAATTGTTGTCAATCAGTCAACATTACAAAAAACATCGTGTTTTTGCAGAATGTTTTCAATGATTGGTTTAAGAGAAAAACATTGTTGAATTCAGATCTCCATATCGATACCACTCCTTTATGAATTACCAGTACGATAGTTGCAGATCTGATATCGAATAAGGTTCAGTCGTAAGTTCAGAAGGTGCCCTGGCTACAAGGTGATTTTGGGTGATTTTGTTCAAAACTGAATACATTTTTGATCAAAATACTCAATCAGCCGGGTGCGGGGCGATAAATCAGAGCAAATGTGACCCCCGGGATGTGACCCAGGCATCAACTATTGTATCTTGTTCAGCTGTAACATCGATAATATCATTATAAGATAATACGTGTGACAATAGTGTTATTAAAGTCTCAATGCATCAATATTAGCCTAATGCTCAATTGGACGGATGTGAATAACAGACAAATCGTGAGAAATAGTTAATTGTAATTCATTAAAGTTCCGAATCTCAGTATTTGATTTCTGTGCTTGAATCCGTTTTCATCATATGGGAAAGGGCATGCAAATAATTAAACAAGAGTTTTCTAATCGATTGGGGCTGTACCGTTTACACTCCCCTCCATAAGTTTGGCTGCCTTTGCTCCCCCATTGAACTACGTGTTAAAGCCTCTTTACGTTTGAATTTGCATTTACTTAACCTGCGTTGTAATAACTTATAATATTAATGGAAACATAACTTGACTTTATTTCCAATACCTCCAAATTTTCCCAATTGTTTCCCTCTATTACAATAGGTCGGAAATCAATCGGAAATGGTGGGTTCGGGGCAATCTCCGAGCCTTTCGTCCAGTGCAATCCATACCTCCTGTGCCTTACGAACGAAATGAATTTTAAGAATGGGTTCGGGGCAAATCAGTAATCAGGATATATATTCGGTAAACGATTCAGCAAAAAATATTTTTATTGTAGAAAATTGATTTGTCAAATGACTTGTGGCAAACCTACCATTTCCATTGGTTAACTAGAAAACTCATCAAAGTTATCATCAATTTTCGAATAATTGTTATCGAGGAAAAAATTGAGAAAATTTGGAGGTATTGGAAATGAAGTCAAATGACGTTTCCACCAATAGTTTAAGTATTTTTATCGCAAGTTGAGTAAATAAAAATTCAAAGGTAAAGAGGCTTTAACACGTAGTTCAATGGGGGGGGGGGGGCAAAGGTTGCCAAACGTATGGAGGGGAGTGTACAGTTCTAGTTTTCTCAGTATTTACAGAACACACAAACTTTTTGGAAATCAGATTTTAGCTGTTGAATGTTTATTTGGAAATTCCTGTAAGTTGCTTTACAATACAATACAATACTTACTATTTATCGGCTAAAAGATCCTCTCTTTTATCTTGTATATGGTACACCCCTGGCACTCGGTTCATAAGTAATGATGTAATAATGACGTACAGTTAATTTGTGCAAAAGTGATTTGACGACGATACGTCAAATCTGAAAATGAATCCGAAAATTTCAAAGAGACAAACGAAAAATTGGACATGACGACAATACAAGTTCTTCTCGGATAATCAGCACCATTTTGACCCATTTTTTCTCACACTGACAAACATGATGGAGAATAATGTAACACTGGTGCGTATAAGACGAATGGATGACGATGGAAGGATCATGAGTTCCATGGAGAAGAATATTAATGATAATAACGTGAAGATTCATCAGGCTTCAACCCCTATTTCAATCATAACTGATACTCAACTACACAAAGTCAACGCCGATCTTGCAATTATGGATTGTGATGCGACGAGTCCGAAGGTCCAGAATGAACTTTTTAACCCACAAGGACCCTATAAGACGCATAGGACAAGGTTTCAATTGATGCGACTGAGTGCTGCCGTTTGTGGGATCGAATTCTGCTATGCGGCAGAGTCGGCATTTGTTGGACCAATCCTCCTTTCAATCGGTATGCCAATTACTTACATGTCGCTAGTGTGGTGCTGCAGCCCATTGCTTGGATTCTTTATTGTGCCATTGCTAGGATCTATGAGTGACAGGTGTACGTGTTCTTTAGGGCGTAGACGGCCGTTTGTCTTAGCCCTTTCCGTTGGGATCCTATCTGGTTTAATTTTGGTGCCCCATGGTAAAGCTATAGCCGAATACCTCGACCCTCCCGACCCGCCTGGTAACGAAACACTCTTAACCAGTAATATTACCATTAATGGGACTATCCCCACAACGTATGACCAAGGCACAGATAGTCTATATTTAACAAGTATTATCCTCACAAGTATAGGGGCAATCGTGTTGGACTTCAGCTCAGACGCCTCTCAGCCATCTTGCAGGGCATACATGCTCGATGTGACGCACAGAGATGAGCACTCGGCGGGCCTATCCTCCTTCACCATATTTGCGGGACTTGGTGGAACATTGGGCTACATCATTGGAGGTATAGATTGGGGGTCACTGACGGGAAACGATTCATTCATCAGCGGTCAAGTTGCATTCGTGTATGCCGCTGTGATGGTCATCTATTTAGCATGTATGATAGTAACTGTCACAAGTTCGAAAGAGGAAACATTTCAAAGGATTGTTAATCCAAACGAAACATTTGAACATCTAAATAAGGTAATAAGCCAAAATACAGCAAACAGCTGTGTCTTTTCTACTGATAATGGAACTACACATCAAAATGATAAGAAGATCACAAACTCTGACAATGCAATTGATAACAAAGCATTTATACCTGATGAAGATGCAAACGTAGAACTGTCGAATGGGAGCATGGAAAATGGTGGACACAAAGTATCCGAAATTGTTCTCAAGGTAGGCCTGAATCCAAAGCATCTAGACAAACACAATTCCACAAAGAGCATGACCACTGCAAACAATACTTTAGAAATCGCAACCAACAATAACATAGAACATGACATTGGATCCGTAGCTGATGCGGAGATTAACACTGAGCCAAATGAAGAACAATCAATAAAAATGTACCTAAAGACAATAATAAAAATGCCAAAGTCACTTGTTATCCTTTGCTTGACAAATCTTTTCTGTTGGATGTCGCTGTTGAGCTATGCTCTTTATTTCACCAGCTTCGTCGGCCAAAGTGTGTATGGAGGCGACCCTACAGCCCCGGAAGGATCGGAAAAACTCGCACTATTTATGGAGGGTGTCCAAATGGGATCGTGGGGAATGGCTTTGTATTCCCTCTCTTGCTCGTTCTATTCTCTTATCATAGAGAAATTAGTTAGAAGATTCGGTAAGTATGCATGTTGTTGAGATATTAACTTGAGTGTGGGGGAGATGTTTTCCTGTTCTGAGATGATTTTTTGTCGTTTCTTGAAGGGATTGAATCCTAATTCTATTCCTCAGGTTGTTTTGACATTCTGATACTCATAGCATCTTTCTGTTTATCATGATGTTGTTAGGGGATCGATCATTCTGAACAGCGCGTTAGTGCGTAGCGCGTGTTTTCATTATAACCCAGCCAAATTACTTCAAACATGTTTTACTGGCACTTTAGTCACAACAGATAATCTGATGTCGAATGTATTTTAACGTCTATCACTGTGACTGTCTCATATTCAACATGTTTTAATGGCAGTCACACAGTCAAACACGTCTCAACATTGTCATACCTGTCAAGTGAAATCGCGAGACTTTTTTTTGAAAAATCGGGGTCGTTTGAAAGAGATTTGAAAATCGGGGTTCTTTTTCTGAAAATCTGGATTTCTATCAAAAATCGGGGGAAAATCAGGGTTTCTAAAAATATCAGGAAAAATCGGGGTAACAATAACTAGATATCAGACAATTGGAAAATACGGGAAGAAATCTAATTGCTAAAATCAAATCGGGAGAAAATCAGGGTTTGCAAAAAATCGATAAATTGTGAGTTAATGATACGATATCGGGGTGTCCCTTGAGAAATCGAGAGTTTTTATCGAAAATCGGGGGATTAATTGTGTAAAGTCAAGGTCAAACATCATACACGGTTTAATGTCTCGAAAACATAGCGCATTAGCTATCGACCAGTTGCTTTTAATGGAGACAAGAAGTAATTCAGCGACATTATGACATAATATCTTACTTTCAATAATTGTGTCACATGCTATTAGTATTTGATATATGATCATCACAACAATAAGCTTTATTGTTACACCGTTGTAGAACTACCATCAAATCCTGATTAGTGTATAAGGCTCTTACTTTGGGCATCTACTCAAGAGTACGAGATTTTACAATAGAGATAGTAAGACAGTATTGGATGTGTGATGTGTAATGGACAATGATGATGAATTATGATGGTCGTAATTAGAACCCTTTTTATGAGAACCCATTATCTATGATTACATGTACTTTGTCAAGTAATATAGATTTAAGTCTGTAAATCCAAATGCAGTATTCAACAGAGCCAAAGCACTGGGATACAGATTGAATTGATAAAAATATGTTATTTTCCCATAGGGAAAACTCATGCGGTCCATTGTTTTTAGCCTAATTTGGTCACCAAAATGTGATATCTTTCAATGTCTTTCAACGAGAAAAACAAGATATTTTTTTAGAAAATAAGTAGAATATCTTAAAAATGAGGTAATGTATTATATACTATACATTCATGGTTTCGAATTGATAATTCTATTATCCCGAGGACCTCAATGAGGAAAACGAATTATTTTGACGAGACATTGTTTTATCATGCGGTTTTTCACCATTCTGAATACTTTCTTAGTGATTTTGATCCTTTTTAGGCAAAAGTAGTCAAAATCAAGCCCCAAGCTGGAATTCTTTAAAAAGTGAACCCCGGCCCTTGGCAAATCCTGGCTACGTGTCTATGTATCCGATCTTATTAATAAAAAATGTCATAGACAATATGGCTATCACAACCCTCATATTACAGTGTTTCTGTCTCCATTTTCAAGTACAGGGTGTTAAAAAAAAAGCAACCCAAAGAAATTGCTATATCTTGAAAAATACTGGTTCAATTATGTTCATATTTTCAGGAAATAAAGAAGAGACTTTGTATGTATAGCTCCTGTAAATGATTAGTTGTAAAACATGATGCCTTGGACACCTGCTCAAAAGACAGTTGTACTAGGAAAATATGAAAAACGCAGTCAGGGGTGACTACAACCGCAAAAAATTAAATAACTTCCTAACCATAGTGTTTTGGCTCTTCAAATTTGGCACAAATCATCTTCATTCGCTGTATGGTAAATCTGTAGAATGAAATCAAAATCACTTCAGGGACTTTACAGTTATGGTTGAAATGCTTTCAAATCGCAGTCAAACGCCCTGGTTCAGGGAGACTTGAGAAGGAATTTTGACCATGACTGTAAAGTCCCTGGAGTGATTTTAATGAAACTCCACAAATTCACCATATGGTTAGAAAGTTATTTGGTTTTATTGCGGTGGCAGTCACCTCGGACTGCGTTTTCATATTTTCCTAGTACAACTGTCATTTGAGCAGGTGTCCAAGGCATCATGTTTTACAACTTACTGACAACAGGGGCTATACATACACAGTCTCTTCTTTCTTTTCCTGAAAAAATGAACATAATTGAATTAGTATTTTCCAAGATAAAGTGATTTTCCATGCGCGTTTTTCGTATTTTGCTAGTACAACTGTCTTTTGAGCAAGTGTCCAAGACATCATGTTTTACAACTAACTAACAACAAGTGTCCAAGACATCATGTTTTACAACTAAATAACAACAGGGGCCATACATACACAGTCTCTTCTTTCTTTCCTGAAAATATGAACATAATTGAATCGGTATTTTCCAAGATATAGCGATTTCTTTGGGTTGCGTTTTTTTTAACACCCTTGTTATACACCAAAATACCTTGCCTACCAATAAGATGTATGGACTTAGTCGCAATCTACTTGATTAACCTACAAGGCAGTGAGCAAACTTCATTATTGGATCAAATAATGCAAAATCAGCAGAAATACAAGAAATAATCCCAGATCGTGTTTACTTTGTAAGGTCAATATTCTAAAACAGTGATGTTTTTGGTAAGTAGCGGTACTACTGGTGAAAAACACTCAATTGATCATTTCGTTATTCATTTCGCAAATCTGACAGATGTGACGACTATCGTGTTATCTGTACAATAACAATAAATGTTTTACATATCAAACTTGGATTCACATTCGAGTATAAATTCCTTAGACCGCCAATTTGAAAATCAGTGTAATTTACTTACACAGGATAGCAATTCAAATCTGCTTTGATATTAATTGTCAGTTAAGGATTTAAGCCCTGGACTCAGTGCAATGTGGAATCATCATTCCTTGAAGGTGCTGCTTTCCAAAATTGCACGAAATGTGCAGCATCGAGTGTGGAAACAACGCCTGAAATAGCAATGGTCATTCAATATTGTATTGTGTATTGGCCTTAAATCTTTTTCACACATTGCAAAATATTGTGTCACTTAAAGGAAACCACTAAAAATAATTTTAATGAACTTCGTGCATGGGTCAAGTTGACAAAGCATCAGTTTCGATCGGTATAGTCCAATTGTCACCCTGACAACCACGTAAGGAGTGACTTTGGATGCACGACTGGTGATATGATGCACTGCAGTTATATGAAACACTGCTTTCGGATTGGCTGGTATCGGACACACCTGGCCTAGCTATGTGTGAATCAACGTTCTTGTCTCATATTTTCTCATTCCAGGTGCCAAACCGGTGTACGTGATGAGTCAGTTGGTCTGCACGGTTGGAATGATGATAATGGCCATAGTGAGGCACCCAGTGGCTGTTATAGCGCTATCACCAACTCCAGGGGTGATGTATGCAACCCTTAGCACGATGCCATTCATCCTTGTAGATCACTACCACGTCAACGATAAGGTAAACACAATATCAATAAACCAACGGAGGATGGGCAATCAAGATTCCACGGTCCAAAACCTCCTAGGCCTACACATAAAATAAACACTAAGACTTGGATGATGCCAGAGGAGCCCTGTGTTCGGAGGTTAAAAATATGACACATTTATTAAGGCAGGGGAGCTGAGGGAAAGCGTCTATAGCCAATCCAAAAAATTTGCAATCAAAGTGAATTTAATACTAGAGCTCACGTATCTATCTTGTGCATTTTGAAAAAAATCAAGATTTTTCCTTTTGATTGGTCAGACTTATGGTTGCTACAAAAAAGCCTGGGATTGTACGAAACACTGGTGCCTTATATTAAAACAAAATTCAATCCTTCCCTTACATTGTTAAGATTTAGACTCAAAACCCGTTTACATTTTCAGTTTACCAACATTGAGAGCAACCCTTCAAAGAGACAAACACGAGGATTGGGGACAGACATCGCTGTTGTTAGCAGCATGGTGTTCTATGCCCAGTTGCTGATATCAGGCTCAATGGGGGCGATCATTGAGGCTGTAGACTCGACTATCGTTCCTGTTATTGCGTCGTCGTTGTTCAGTTTATGTGGGGCTATTTCTGCAACACAGGTTATGTACCTGAATCTGTGATTGATGAACTCAATGGGAGCGATCATTGAGGCTGTCGACTCAACAATTGTTCCTGTTATAGCAGCGTCGTTGTTCAGTCTATTTGGGGCTATTTCTGCAACACAAGTTATGTACCTGAATCTGTGATTGATGAACTCAATGGGAGCGATCATTGAGGCTGTCGACTCAACTATTGTTCCTGTTATAGCAGCATCGTTGTTCAGTCTATGTGAGGCTATTTCTGCAACACAGGTTATGTACTTGAATCTGTAATTGATGGACTCAGTGGGACTCAATTGAGGCGATCATTGAGGGCTACAGACTCAACTATTGTTCCTGTTATAGCAGCGTCGTTGTTCAGTCTATGTGGGGCTATTTCTGCAACACATGTCATGTACCTGAATCTTTGATTGATGGACCATGCCGATTGCGTTATATTTTATGTTGGATTTCCAAGTATGAACCATTCATACCATGGAATCAAAGACGGAAGTACCTGCCCAGTCACAATACTCTGTCACAGATTGTGGGCTTCTATAATGAGAACTGGTCTAATTCAGTTTAGGTAAATAAAAGTCGGGTCGTCAACCTCAACTGGTTGGTTTACAAGTCCTAATTCTGCAATTACCATTGTTCACAATGAGTCAGATTAAAATGATTTTGTTTGCTTTTGGATAGAAAATGGTGTGGCCGAAAATCGAACATTCATAAAACAAACAGTATTGTTACATTTATCAAATCTAATTGCAAATTAACAGATCAAATAATAATTGTATTATTAAGCTGCAGAAGCGTGACCTTTTGTAACGTAGGTCAATCACCTATATCCGTGACTGTTATTGAAACAAAGACCCAACCAAGTTCAGTAACGATCGCGATTACAAACAATTATGGATGTATTGTTATTCAGCAATCGTAAATAAATATTTCTACTGAGGTCACTTATGGTCATGGTTAACATTACGAAATAATCTAGTATGTGAATGTGCCCGCAAGTTCCAAGAGGAATTTATTGTATTGTTTTTCACCGTCTGATGGTACAATATTTGAAATAAAGAAATAGAAATGAACAGGAGCCTACCGCCATTTGTTTCAGACGCCAAATGCCGAACACTAGCCGCCGAACATCGTCCACAAAAAGGTGGTGACAGCAGAAATGTAGAACCAGATGGTTCATGGGCATAGCCAGTTTTTAGTCAGGGGAGGGAAGGGGGGGGGGGGGGGGGGAGGGGGCAGTCAGCCAAAATTAATTTTTAAAGATTTGTTTTGAATTTTACTAAAATTGATATCTTCCTTCAAAATTGAGCTAGAAACTTCATATGAAAAGCATTTTAAAGCTCTTCTCTTCGTCTATCCAATGATTCTATTTTTATTGGTTATAGAGCGGGATGCCTTCGCACCCATCGTACCCCCACCCCCTGGCTACGCCTATCGTACAATACATTATGTGGCTCGGCAATATAAATGATCACCATCAAATATACATCAGTTCAGGACAGGCCAAAAAAGGTCCAAATGGTGAAGGGAATGTTAGTTTGGGTTTATATGTATTTGAACGGGATACATTGATCGAAATCAAACTGTCATAGCTAGAGCTTGTGTTGTGTATTTTATATTGATTTATATTCCATTGTTTTGTATTGTGTATTGTATTGTACTGCACTGTATTGTTTTGTATTGCACTACATTGCATTCTATTGTATTGTGTTACTGTAGATTAATGTCATCACCGTACTTGGATACATTCAATGCCAAATATATTCTTTTGTTGAATATACGTTGTTGTTGCGAAACTGCTAGCAATCAAACAAAATAAAGGAATTGAAAGAGCAAAAAACAAAATGTTATTTTTATTTTGGGTATGGCAATTATAATGTTGAAACAAATCCAATCACACGAAGCAGTATTTTTGAATTAGTATATATTAAGATTATGAAATGCGATTTTTTTTGCAGGATAATGGCAACAAAACATTTGTCGAGAAGTTATAAAGAAGCATAGGAAAATGTTACGTTTTTTGTTACGTTAAAAGATAAAATGACTTTAAAAATAAATAAAAGACACATTTTACAGAGGTTAACGTTATCTAATATTTTTATGATGTCATTAATATGGTTAAACATTAACATTAAGTATAACATAATCCAATAGTATACTAAGTATAGTGTAATGTACATGTAATAATTTAGCGTTGATAAAAAACAGTTTCGTTTTACGCCATTTCTATAAAGACAAAACTATAGTATTCACGTTGAAACAACCAAGGAGGATTGGCTCCCAGAGTGCACCACCGATATTCTGTCCCATATATGGGTATGTCGTAATACAAAATTCGAATTCAAACAGCCGCCATTTTGTTCACTTCAACATTTAAATCGTGAATTTTGGTCTTATTTCCAAACGAAAAATTCCAAAACTCACAAGAAATGATCGAGATATTGGTTCGAATCTTTTGAACTGTTTATTTTGAATTTATAGTCGGTTTTAATTTCAGAAGATAACGACATTTCGACGTTTTCATTGTTGGAAAATATCGAGTTTCGATCCTGGGAGCCAATCCTCCTTGGAAACAACTAAGATTGTTAATAATGGCTTTAATTTTGTAATCAGCTTAATTATTGAAAGCAATGCGCGTTAAATGCATTTCCTGCTGGATTATAAGCATATTCATAGGTTTCGTCTCGGGTAAGTTGAATTATTTTAAATTTTAAAATTATCGATAGATATGATTTTGATATTGTTTAACCATATTTACTTCTATTTATATATTTACTTGAATTTAAACTTTTAACAAACACTGGCACACTCTAAGTTATTTTCTGCAGTGTGTACTGTGACGTCGCAGGTTATCATCGAAGAAGTTCCCTCAGACAAAGCAGCAATAGTAGGTGATTCAGAGGCTGTCCTAACGTGTAGAGTGTCTGCAGAAGTCCCTCACTTGATCTCATGGACTCTAGATGGCATCCCTATATCGTCAAACGAAAAAGTCGCGGAAGAACTTAAAAGCAAATATACCATAAAAAACAAGTATGACTTGGCGGTTAAGAACGTTCAGCTTGAGGATGCTGGTCCATACGCCTGCAACCAAAATTTACCCGATACTAAATTCATTGGTATTGCAGAATTAAATGTATACGGTGAGCTTTGGCATTTTAATTTACATAGCTAGTTGTCTACGCCACGATGCAAAACGTATGTACGTGAGCAAAATCACGCCACTGGCCAAAAATTCTTTCAGAAAATGAGCTTTGGCATTTTAATTTACATAAATAGCTAGTTGTCTACGTCACGATGCAAAACGGATGTACGTGAGCAAAATTACACCCCATTGTGCAATTTACCACCATTTTGGGCACTTTTTAAGTGATTTTGGGCCAAAACGCTTAATGGTCAAATGTGAACCCCCGCATTGTTTCAAAAGTACCCTGCGTGCAGAGTCTACTTAAACTAAAGAAGACGAAGCTCTCTTTTAAGAAGTAAATTCAAACGAATGCAAAGGGTATTTCAAAAGTGTTCTCCTCGACAAAAGCTGAATATTGGCCTGAACAATAATGAACTAATCAAAAAAGAATGATCAGGTTAAGAACAGCAAAAATCTACTCTTAAATGATTTATTATTGGCCGTATATGAAATATACCCGAAAAAGTATCATAATTTCAATCACATTTTCAAGTCAAAGTTTGATAAACTTTCAAAATCACATTTAGGTGTAATTTGTAACTTGGTTTCAGAGGTGAATTAATTTTGAAATATAAAAATGTTGTGAATTGATTTTGCTTTAAAAAATATCAAAATAACCATATCGAGGCAAGGGGGTTATATAACTGGCATACCCTGCCATTTTTATCGAATGCTACATTATATATTGGAATTTTTGTCACCTAAATTCCTGCCCTGGAACTCTGAGAATAATCACAATAATCATAAGGACTAATCCTCCTAAGCAGGTGTCCAGAATCCGCACCCCCTCAAGAAGGTATTCTGGATATTGGAGCCCTGCGTACGGAGGATGTAAGGACATGTTACTGTAGTTTTTGTTTACCATAGGTGAGATCGTTTGTGCAGAGGATACAATTATTAAAATGGAAAATGATTCTATTTCGCTGGAATGTTTAGTTGGATTTGTTGGCGATGACAAGTACATTCCAAAATTTGCTTGGGACTTAAATGGAAAGCTCATCACGTCTACATTCGCGAATAAAACATTTCAGGGAAAAACAAAATTTGTTGAATCGGGTAAGGACTTAATGTAATTCTTCTTATTTCCATGTTAATTTATTGCAATGATTATAATGTTTCCACAACCAAATTGCATCATTTCAACTAAACCTGCAGGGGTGGATCTGCGCGGAAGGAATTTTGTGCCCCTATAACCAAAAATCGGGCCCGAATGTGAATATTCGTGATTAATAGGCCTAAAATGAGAGAATCAGGCCCAAACACCCAGTATGCTCTAATGGACCACTAATTGGGGGCCTAAAAAATGTAGGGCCCAATTTTTCTGCCCCCTTCCCCATCCGCCAGTGACCTGCTAACATAGTCCCTCATTCTTGTAGGTATCTCATTGGTTGCAATACCAGAGATGGACGGAGGGATTATTTCATGTCATTATAAAGTACCAGCGGAATCCGGTGGTGTTATGATTGCAGATAGATGTCGCCGAAAGGTTGTCGTAAAATGTAAGTAAAAAAATGCGGAATGTTTGTGGTTGACTTTTGAAGACGTAGTTAAAATATGTCACTTCATATTCATGAAGAAGAAAGAAATGTACTTCACCAAGCTTAAGGTACCTTAAACGATTATTTGACATCAAATTTTATTCAAAATAATCCATAAAAGCCAGATGTTTTGCATAGGAAGTTTGTTTTTATATATCTAAAACCGCACTTAGTGAACACCTCTGGTGAACACCTGTCATTAGTGAACACCGTTCCTCCGCACATACCGACCTCCATATATACCGCCCTCGCTGTAGTGAACATCTACCAGCACTGAATGTTTTTTTCTCTGCAAATATTGAAAAATATGTCCAGCTAAGTGTGCAGCCAATATTTACAAGGGCGTAGCAAGCAAATGTCAAGGGGAAGGTTGCGAATGTTTGGGTTTGCATATCCAAAAGGGTAGTATTTGGGTCAACCCTTGGAATTTTTTTAAAGTTTACATAGTATACCTTGTATAGTGCATTTTAAGCATTTAAAACTATAATTTGTTAGATAAATGTTTTTCAACAAACTTTACAAAATTGCTTTTTTCTTTTTTGTTTGGGGTGTGGGGGTAAGCGATCGGACCCATCGCAACCCTGGCTACGCCAATATTTGATCATTTGTTCTAGATGCGGCAAGGAAGCCTTCTATCCTGATGGACTCAGATGACGTTACAGACCTCGAACGATTATATGATAAAGATAAACATGTCATACTTACTTGCACATCAATGGGTAATCCAGTCCCAAGGTAATGTCTTTCTAGATATTTTTGTTCTATTGCGAAAATAACATATAGATATCATAAACTTTTTTGAACACGAGTACTTTTGTTGAGTACAAAATCCTGCAAAAATAATGTGAGGTGTTTTGGCCCCACATTCAGGTTCTACCATATGTCAACGCAAAAAGTGTTGTTTATCATAAATACCGCAACTATGACAGAATTACCTCAACATATCAGACAGTTGAAAAAGTCTCTAAATTATAAGATTATAATGACTAGGCCTAGAGATACACAAATTGACTACAATATATGTGCATATTTTCAGATACACTTGGAGTTATAAACAACTACCTACTCGTAAAAATATACAAATCACAGAACCAGTGGAAAAAGATTTAAAGTCAAATTCAGGTGTGTCTATATATATGTATGTAGATTCAATAAAGGATTTAACCCTATACTTTTGCAAAGAGGACAGTAAAGCTTAACAAAGGCATTTTGAAAAAGTTGGTTAGCTATGCTTTAGTAATGGAACCCATACAGCTATTTTTGCCTTGCCTGGGCCACATGGATAAGCCCTTTCGATTATCTATTAAAAGAAAAGAAAACTCCAAAATTAGAACTTTTAATTTCATGTAAAAAATCTGGCCGATAGGCTGGGACAAATCATATTTTTTTTAAATAATTCCAAAAATGAATGGCTGTATGTGTGCCTTATTCGCCATACTTTATGACAAAGTTGGTATATCCTTTAAGAGTTTATTGAATACGCTTTCCTATGGTTTTAGAAATATAAGCAATATACATTCATGTTATTTTCAGGTGTGTTAGACCTAGGTTTCGTTAACATAAATCACACAGGTGTGTATACGTGTAAAGCTATAAATATTCACAACCGTGCCACCGTAGAGTCTGAAGTCATACTAAAGGTCATCATATCTGGTAAGCGTGTTTCCTAAGCAAGCATACATGATTTCCCACAAAGACATTAAATTGTGAAAATGTGAAAAGCTTAAATACAATAATATTTACTGCCTATTGTTTATTGTACACTGGAAATATCTCAAATATTTTATAGTGTTTACGATACTTTCAAACTTCTTAATTTATGGCTTTATTAACCTGGCGGTGTAAGACTAACGTTTTCAAACACACTTAGTCCGACATCATAGTTCTCGACGATCTGTAGAGACATCGGAAACAAATCCATCGCCTTTTAACGACTCATTAAAATACTATTTTGTGTTTGGCGATTTGAAAATCGACACTTTTTTGAACAAAAATTCTTCAAAATCGACATTTTGAAATTGAATTGAAAAGTTTCACACAGCACGTTACATTGGGTAATACTATAATATAATCCAAAGTGGTTTACACTTTATATGGGGCCTTTAAAAATAACTTCCAGTTGTCAAACCTTTGGAGGGGAGTGTACATGTGTATTTAGATGCAAATGCGTATTATTTATTTCATGTAATCCATTTAGGTAAATCAAGTACGTATACGTGCATTGTTGCTGGAATAACGTGTACAGTCTTTGGAGGAGTGATTGGATTTGTTGTAGCGATCGGAATAATATCTGCTCTTGCCTACTGGGTGTTCAAGCTTCACAAGAAAATTTACAAAATGAGAAAACAAGAATCGTCACAGGGAAATCCTTCCGATACTCGGTATGTGTTTGAGGTGGTGTATAATTGTGAAAATACAAATTGAAAATCTTAAAAATGATTTAATTTGAAACAAACATAATACCACAAAAAGCTAAGTTGGACTTCTTGAATTAGTGAACGGAACGCTGGGAGTGTCATTAGAAATGTCTGGAAAATAATTGGTTGAAATCGACAAAAATTGCCCTAATATAAATTAGGAATAAATATATTCCAATCTACTTTTAGTAAATAAATATAACTTTCGGTAATACATTAATGATTATCAAATTTGAATTTTCGATAACAACTGCATCAATAGTGTTTGTCAATTTTTTCATTGGCGTACCTTTCATTGCTTATATATTTTCCTTTGACTTGTCTACGATTATGAAATGATTTTGATTATTGAATTTGATATCTTTGCTACCGAACTAAATCAACATATTCCATTGCACATTTTAAGAAAACAATTTTGGACGTGCGTAGTGGAGGAAAATAGGTAAAATGTTGCGTAAACGCTTTTTTCATCATTAGGTCATCACGATGTCCTAGCAATGACGAGGCAGTTTCCTTTATGGCAAGTACTCCAGGCGAAGATGTTGAACTTCAACAAAATACATTCACTTAAGTAGACAAAGACGATGAAAATACGTACATTGAAATAAGAGCTTGATATATGACTTGGCAAAGATATAATCAGAGGGAGAAATGTCGAAAGATATTTCACTTTTGTGATTTTACAACATGGGGAATCTCCTCGATCTAGAAGTCACATTTTCAAAGAAAATTGAATTTTCAAAGTTGATAAACTCTTTTCAAAACCACATTTTTAGATATAATTTTACATGTACATCACAAATTTGACATCGTTTTGACTGAATTTTGAATTTTTAATGACGTAAATCAAGATTTTTTTTACTTGCATCTGGTGTGTTATCTTATGATAGTAAGGAACGTCCTACAGTAGAGCTATGGATGACATCAAGTTTTAGACACATGGCTTCATGGCTTTTAACAATTCTTCTTGTTTGGAGGCAAACACGATTGGATTTAGTATAATTACAACAAGTGGTAGTTAAAAAATCGACTCATGCCATATTTTCAATACAGAAGCATTGCCGCCAAAGAGAATAGTACTCAATCCACGTAAGGCCATATAGGACCAAAACATGCCAACGAAACAACCGAAGAACATTATTGTTGACTTCAATGTTTCGAGTCCTTTTTTGTAAGCTACTGCCCTGCTTTGGTCAAAAGCTTATATTTGGCTCAATATACCTTTGCGATGTTTAAGCGCGATCCAGAGAATCTTAACATGTAAAATGGTACCGATTGAGGTATTGAGCTCAATGGTCATGAATATGAAAAGTCCCTTACTCTTCATTAGAAGACGTATAAATGCACCCACTGTTCCCTCTAGCACTCCAACGCACGCAATGTTCAACACAATAGTATTTGTTGGGGTTCGGAGTGTCCTATTTTTCCAATTGCGATGATCAACAGAAGATTTGTAAATGTCATTCCAAGTGGAGGCATCCCGAAATTGAGTGAAGTCCAATGAATACACTGATAGGGTATTTAGAGTTTTGCCCTGGGTATATATATATTAGAGAGGTTTCCACTCATATTACGTTGACTTGAGCTCATACTTGAGAGGTTAAGCTTTGCATATATAATCGAAACTGAACCTGTACGTATCACTCGACCATATACAAATTCATGTAGCCTTCTCATATAAATAGCCGTTCAAATCCTGTGTTTGTTTAGACTACACCATAGCGTGTAATGATTCTATAGTATGTCATTGATGCGGTTTTATAGCTGGTTTTCTAATACATATTTTAAACGAGCTCGTTTCGTAAGATTTTTGGCGCTAAATCATGCGTGACATACATCATCGTGTTCAGCAAGAATGCAACTGTGCATCGAAATCAAAATTGACAGCATAGTGTTCAATAGACACGAGTAAAATGGTTCCCGTTGACCCAACGTCAAATTTCAAAATCTCCCGTTCTAAACCCGAAACTCTGAAGCTGAAAGAGTATCTGAAGTAGACTAAGCGCGCATAAAACTATGAGCGCTCGATACATTCCTTTGTTAATTTTTGTACTTTGCGTTCACGGTTACGTTGTGAAAAACATCGTTAGCTTAACCTCTCCAATGTCCGTGTTGTTTAACCGAATCCCACTGTGATTTTGACATGAAGTTGAAGAATATATATCATTCAATTTCCCAGTTAAAAAATGAGTTATTTACTTACTGTCAGAATCTTGAAAACAATTACTTGTAAATTTTTATTCAATTTGCCAAATTCCATTAGATAAAAACTTGCAAATTGCTCAATTTGCGCAATTCCAAAAGGTGTTCATAAAACAAGCTGTTTTTGTGATACTTCCGTTGGCACAGAGTTCATCATTATCAATTTTGCCTTCAACTTGCAAAATATACTTACAAATTGAATGTTCCACAAAGTGTTCATAAAATGAGTTGAATTGTTGTCATAAACTTGCACATTGTGATTCAAATATGCCAGTTTCAAAGTGTTCACTTTTAGTACTGATAATAAACTAAAGCTTCCAATAAAGTTTACTGTATTGTACAGTTAATCAATTCAATTCAATCAACTTCTACACTTTTGATTTATTTGCCTAAACCTATTGCCAACTTTTACCCATATTTTTAATATGTCCTAACTCTATAGATTATAGAAACATTTAGAATTGGACCGGGTCTTTAACAATTGCTGATGAGTTTTTCTGCCTGTTGCCCGCTTTCTGACTGGCTGATTGAGTGGCAATTGTGGCATCATGTGCCTAATTATGACATTATTTCCGCTGCATATCTATGGACAGAATAACAAGAGGAAATCTAATTTCGCCAAGGACAAGAAACTCCAACGCCGTTAAACACTTATATATGCAACAGATTATTAACGTCTATCATTTAACACATTTTTCATTTATCTCAACGTTTATTAGTTGTTGATTAATGCTTTTATTAACATTGTGCTCATATAAAGAATATTAAGATGTTAACGTGTATTTATAATTTAGAAATACCGTATGGGGAGAAATTGATCATGAAGTAACATGTAATGAGAAGTCTTCCCAATTGGATTATTGTCTAACATATTTGTACATCGTTATTATAAAAAATTCTGAAAGAAAATCAACATTGGTTAGACGTTGTCATTTACGGATGCCAAAAATGTCTCAGGTACTCGAATGATCTTGATTGGACATCGTGGTGCAGCTCCAAGAAAAAGTTATTGGCCACCTTAACTAAATTTCACTAACTACATTACAAAACTAAGGCTTACTAAATCAAAACTTTATATAGCACAACCTCAGACATATGCAAATCACAATTGACCCACTACACCAATTAGCTATAGGCTGATGGAGAACTCCTACCAGGGATCCCCATCAATGAATTCGAAATGCTCATACTATAAATATGGCGGATACTTTAGTCGATAAAAATATAGTTAATGTGACATATTGCTCGAAAACTACAAATGGTAACAAACAAATTTTCTTCAGTATGGAAAGAATGAGTAAATTTTAGAAAAGTCAATCGGATTAAGGTCTTTACTAAACATCGCTGTTCCTTGACTCTCTACCTCGAGATTGAACTTGCCTACAAGTCGCTCAACTCCACCATGGTAATTCGGGGACTTGAAGGTAATCTTCGATCCAATTGGCAAAGAAATGTATATATTTCTGAATAGTCTGTTGGCTATTCTCCCGTCGTCAGCGACAAGTGGATTTATCACATAACTTTGTGTGACGTCAGAAGTAGTTTCGTATATTAGGCGTCTACAAAGTGCATAACCTATTACAACGCCATCTTTATCTCGTGCTAACGCACATATTGGTTTATGTAATTCCGATTCAAACCATTTCTCGAAAAATGATTGCCTCGATATATTCAAAGTTGTCATCTCAAATTTCTTCAAATCCTTGAACAATTTTTCCCCAGCTGGCTCTGTAGTAACTGTACTGCCATCTGTTTTGAAAGCACCGTCATCTTTGACGCGTTCTATAACATCCTCACTGACATTCCCTGTGCATTTTGCAGTTTTGGCGCCAACTTTGAATCCTAATTTTTGATAAAATCCCTCTTTACCGGTATCAGCATTCAGCCAGAAGTTACGATCAGAATACGTATCCATCATTTTATTCATAAGATACTTTCCGATTTGTTTTCCTCTGAAGTCTTCTCGAATGAAAATCGTTTCCAGGAATGCCAAATCTTGACTTATAACATTGGGCGACGTAAAACCTATAATTAGAATTAAAAAGAAGTCACAAAAGCTTAAATCATTGACCAACCTGAACATGATTAATTTGAACTGACATGCATCTCATACCACTCTACAATTAAAAGCGTCACCAAAACACCAAACCCGGGCTTATTCCATATCTACAGAGAGAAAAAACTGTTAAAAAACTCTCATTTGTTACATATGGGTATACAGGGTGGTCCATAAGTTCCAGGAATGAGTCTGGCATTTCATTAATATTTGGATAATGTGCTTGATATTTGGCCAGAATGTGTCCAAACTATCTGCTGACCATCTTGCAAAAATTCATGGTGATCCATGCATAACTGCTGTTAAACTGGTTACCATGGTAACGTGACCACGTGGTATGCGGGGCACTATTTAAATGTTGCATTTTTTATTTTTTTGATGTGACACCACTTCTTGCAAAAACCACACACTTCACTCCCAGCAACCTACTTGTTGATAATCAAAATATATCCATAACAATGACTAATGACATCATTGATGACATCACAACTGTCAATGGGGTTATATTGTGGGTTCAGGTCACTGTCTTGTGTGATGTCATAATTGTCATTTGCCAACAAAGCCCCACCATTTTTGGAAATCAGCCATCTTGAAAACCAAAAGAATGTCATCAGGGAAAGAATATTCAAGAATAAGACAAAGGACATCTATCCAAGACTGTGTAAGAAATGGAATGACAGCTCCTGAAACTATAAAGTTCCTCAGGAATGCATATGGAGATGGTGCTATGTCAACAGGTAGGATCTACCACTGGTACAAACGTTTCTCCTCAGGGAGGATCTCACCAGAAGATGACCCTAGGTGTGGCCGTCCTTTAAGAGATAGGACACAGACAAATAAGGATAGGATTGAAGAAGAAATTTTCCGTGATAGACGGATTTCCACAAGAGATCTTGAAGGAAAACTTAATATAAGTAAAACAACCATAGGCAGGATTATCAAAAATGACCTGAAAATGCGCAGAGTAAAGGCAAAATGGGTGCCACGATCGCTCACTCAAGCACAGAAAGACAGACGTGTTGAAGTTTCTACAGAGTTCATTAGAAGGTTTGAAGCTGAGGGTTCTGACTTTACAGACAACATCATCACTATGGATGAGACTTGGGCTCATCATTATGATCCTGCTTCAAGAGACCAAGCATCTGAATACCATCACAGCAACTCCCCTAGGCCATCAACGTCAAGAAGAATTCGATCTGCTGGAAAGGTGATGTTGATGGTTTTTTTCGACGCACATGGTGTGATACTGACACATGCGGTACCAAATGGCTGGACTGTGACAGGAAAGTACTATGAGAAGGTAAGTTTCATTCAAAGACTCAAACTAATTTATTAATGCTAAATTGAAGCTAGTTTCAACTGTATTTCATAATGATAGTTACTAAGAAATTCTCCATCTAAAATGTCACTCGACTTTTTTGTGATTATGAGTCAAAGAAAGCATTCTTGAGTATCAAATTGACTTCTGTGGTAACTTGAAACCATCTTCTAATTTATTCCACTTACCTTTTATTGTTTCTCCAAATATATTCTTTGAAAATCGGATTTTAAGGGTGTTAATCAGGGTAATTCTGTGCCATTTTATCAAAAATCTTGTTGCTATCTAGAAACGAGCAATTGTGATCTTGTTGTTACCTAGGAACGAGCAACTGTGATGTCACGTCACACTCATGTTAATTCTGGAATCACATGGCAGCCATTTTGGAAATTTCAAAAAAGTTCCCAAAGGATAAATGCTGTTTACAAATTGGAAACTATGGCAGAATCAACAAAGGGTTTGTGAAATAATTAGGATATGGTTTCAAAATTATGCACATGACAATATATAACTACTAAATGCTGACAGGGACTTTTAATTGCCAAAAAGTCGAGTGACATTTTAGATGGAGAATTTCTTAGTATGTTTTGATGGAGAGTACCTGAGCTCAATTTGTTTGATAAAAATCAAGATCTCTGGTTCTGATGAGAATCTATTCTGTCATTCCAGGTGATTTGTAGACATTTAGCCCGGGCGCTGAGTAAGAAGAGGCCAGGACAAGCATTTGTGTATCATCATGACAATGCACCATCTCACAGGTCGGCAGGGGTCATTCAGGCTTTACAGGACTTAGGCTATTAACTGCTCCCACATGCCCCTTATTCCCCGGATCTTGCCCCTTGTGATTTTTATTTCTTTGGACACATGAAGAGAGGACTGAAAGGACGATGTTTTGACAATGACGATGAAGTCCTTAGAGCGGCTAATATTGAGATCAAAAGGATGTCCGAGGGTGGATTTAGGAAAATATTTGAATCTGAATGGGTCAGACGACACAAGGTATGCATCCGGCATGGGGGTAACTATTTTGAAAATGAAGACTGAGTTATCATACCCAAGGAGCCAGGAAAATGATTGAAATGATGTTTTCACTTAATAGTGACGATGCTGCCGTGCCCCGCTGAAGCACACATGCCGTTACTATGGCAACCACAGATACAACAATTTTTATCCAATATACCTCAGATTTTAACAAATCATAGGGGACACATTTGGACACCTTTTGGTGAATTTTCATGGAAAAAATAGTAATAAATGTTGAAATGCCAGACTCATTCCTGGAACTTATGGACCACCAAGCAAGTCAATCTTGTTTTTAAAATATATTTTCAAGAAGCAACGCTTTTCGAATTTCAAATCGTTTGGAGTGGAAAGTTTGTCTGCAGTCTGTGAATTGTGAACAACTTTAAAATGCTTTCTTCTCTGCTATATTGTTGCGCAATTTTCTGCTGTAACTTGTGCAATTGTCAGTACGTATGATTGTGTTTTACCCACTGCCTCTGCCTCATATGCTTGTCTTGAGCTTTATCATTGAGTAAGTGGTTTTAAATATGATAGGGAAAAGATTTTGTGGTTTAGTTTGAGTTTAGGATTTGAAGAATAAAAGTGTTTACCAATGGCTTCACCGTCTTCTGTTTCAGCAATCTCATGGGAATCACCGTACAGTTCAAATAGCATCTGAAAAATAATAGCGCCGTTTTCTCATTTCTCGCTCTACGAAGGAGAACAGAGGATTAGCTATTCTAAATACGAAAACTCATGACATGGGTTTAACTAGTGGAGGTTTTTTTCGATAGGGAATATTGCAAGGGATGGATATATGTTTTTTACACTATTTCATGTCTTCGAAACCCAACTCTCTAGGTGGTTAGGGATCATAGTAATAAAAGTCTGAACCGCGATGAGAAATTTGTGATTGTTGAGACTTACCCTCTTTTACATATTTGTAACCGTTTATAAGGAATCTAGATACCTTGCAATATAAGCGGTCAATTGCTTAGGTTTGACCTTACTTGACACAGTTTTGGGTATTATATTAAAGAGCTGAATGGTATCTTAAAGTTCTAGTATGTAAAGTTAGAGTCAATAGAATTCACTGGCGGATCCAGGGGACAGGGGCAGAAACAATTGGGACTTTTTGTGCATTACTTGGCCTTTTTGGCCAAGTTATCAAAAATGGGCGGAGAATTTTTCCTGATTTGAAATTTGGGCCCCCTTGATAGCTCCTTGATCCACTAGTGAAACTGTAGTATCGAACCTAGAAAATAGTTCAATATTATGTAAAATACATGAACATTTTAGATGAAAAGTCTTGGTGCTTATATGGATGTAACAGATGTTTAGCCCCTGTATGCAGATATTTGATTCATGTTATTTTCGAATATATTATCACAACGGAAACCAGCACTAATAAAACAAAAGATGACAGCTATATTGCACTGAAACAAAACGTCAAAAACATGCCAAACTGTTGTATATTTTCCATGGCAATATCGATCTTGATTATTATTTAGTTTGATACACCTAAATTTTCTCTACATCGGACTGTATCTTACCTCTCTCATACAGTAGTCATTCGTCCATCCAGCCATCGTCTCCCAGGTCGTGGCCATCTTTAGGTCATCGTGCGTCATTGGTCTAAGGTGCACTTCCATATTAACCGAACCTTTTAGCAATTGATCTCTAGACATTTATTTCTTGAACTCTACAGGTAAGTGTGGCTTTAATCAATCGTGCTTATACATGTTGTATGGCTTTCAGCCTACGTGTATGTGGAATTATATATGCAGTAACTGTATCCTAGAGACTCTGATATATCATGAGGCAGAACATGTTCCTAGCTAGTGCATTCTCCAAGTAAATCAGTGTATATGGAGGAATAAATTAGTGCCTAAGAATGAACCGTCCTGTTTTTCCCTTTGTAAACTTTAATTCAATGAATTCATTATGTGGAAAACTTTTATTTATCTTGATAGTTCTTGTTTATATATTGAAAATTAATAACTATGATAGTGTTGACATACTGTACGCCCGGTATTATTCGCGAGCTTTAATTTCGCGAATTTTGCGAAAACACGGTTTCGCGGCTATTAAATTTCGCGAATTTCACAAGTTCAGAACTGCGTGCCGGGCTATGTTTGCCCTTTCTGCATCGTTGTACACTTTATATGTTCCACGCTTGGACTTCATGTTATTTTTAGCAATTTGAACTTCAGTTTCTATAATATCGTCGATGTCATTATTGAGCCTAGGCCCATTGGTAGTAGTTGGCCTGACTAGCCAACGTAAAATAGACATGTTGGTGGAAATCATCCAATTATCGCCCAATAACACTAGACGAAACGTTTTACACAAAACGAAATGCATTTTGTAGTTCTTCTTACAGATGTAGGAATGGAGGGATCAGAAGTTGACGAAATGCATCAGAGCCCCGGGTAAAAACAAATTCCCGGGGATTTAATTGGCAACTTCGCGACGATAATTTTTCGCGATTTTAACACCATCGCGAAAAGCGCGAAAGTTAATCGCACGCGAATAATACCGGGCGTACAGTACTTCTTTTTTCTTATTGTTTTCTAATTTAGAAATTTAAACAATAATTATCATGCAAATGTCAACACTTGGATTATTTGGGAGGGAATTGTGTTTGGTCACACTCATTAGGCTTTGTCTGCTTATGTAATCATGCAACTGCAGGTAATGCCTTCCCATGATACTCATGGTCAATAGAACTCTGTAAATAATTTAATTGGTCCGTACATTTTAGGGTTTAAGGAAACATTTATTACAGTCAGTATCCCACAGTCTGAACTATTCCAAAAGGATAGTAAAGGCTGTGGATCCCACAATGGTATCCTAGCTGTATTGTAAGCATGCCCAGCTGATTAGATTGAACTTCAGTACTTCGGTTGAAATTTAAAGGCAAAGAGAAATCGATATTTTGTTTTACGTCCTGTATAATTTGAATCGTACAAGGAGCAAAAGCTGGCTATGGCCTGTAACTGTAGATGTTTTATCAATTGTTCATTGCTTAGGTGTATAGTATATAGAGCTAACATTTCTCAATTCACTTACCTGATATAGCATATCGAGCTTTCGACAACATCTGTTGCCTTGCTCAAGATGTCTGAATTTGGCGGGAAACTGGTAGATTTGACTTGACTTGATCTTTGACCTAACCTCAAGCAGACTCGGGTAAACCTTTATCAGTCCTATCTCTCTGTTCAGTTCAGGTTTGATTTCATGAATATGGATAGCTTCCTTAATCGTCCTATCCCGTCGTATTTGGACTCAATGGAGTCAATTATTTTGTACTACATCCCAGTTTATCATCTTATGCGCTTCATGTCGTCTCTAGTCTAGAGGGACCCTGTTGCCTCGCCGTGTGAATTTGAGCTTTGTTTAAAATCCAAGATGGATAATTTTGTGCAAAGTCTTGACAATTCCTTTCTTGTAAATGTTATTATCTTTAATCAATTTAGAGTAACATACATAGAAAATCAGACTTGTGCATTGTAAAGTATTTCGTGCTTTGCATGGCTGCCTTTTTGTTTTTGACACCCGATTAAGGTGAATACGGAAATATTCAGGCATTATTTACCTGCCCTGCTTCACTCCCTGAGAGATTATCGCTGCAAATAAAGCAATATACTCCCCTCTAAAATCAATGGCAATGGGAGATTTCCCCTGACGTCCGTTTGCTTGAGTTATGGGATTTAATAATCATTGGAACGAGAACGAAGAACAAATAGATAGATGGCGGATCCAGAAGCTATCAAGGGGGGGGGGGCACAAATTTAAAAATCAGGAAAAAATCTTCGCCCATTTTTCTAATTTAGCCTAAAATTTGGCGTTTCTGCATCATATATATTCCCTGAATAACAAATTCATGACACAAAATACAGAAAATACATATTCTGATATTGTGACATAGAACTCTATAAGTCAAATGATTTCAAACCAATTTTCTTCAGTACGGGAAGAAAGGGTAAATCTTTGAAAAGTCAATAGGATTTAGATCTTTACTAAACATAGCCGTTCCCTGACTCTCTACCTCGAGTTTGAACTTGCTCACAAGTCGTTCTACTCCGGCGTGGTGATTCGGGGACCTGAGAGTAATCTTCGAGCCGATTGGCAAAGAATTGTATATATTTCTTAATAGTCTATCGGCTATTGCCTCCTTTTCAGCGACAAGTATTGCATAGCTTTGTATGACGTCAGAAGTTGTTTCGTATATTAGGCGTTTACAAAATGCATAACCTATTATAACGTCATTTCTATCTCTTGCTAACGTACAGATTGGGCTATGTGATTCAGATTCAAACCACTTCTTAAAGAATATTTGTCTCGATATTCCAAAACTTGATATCTCAAACACCTTTAAATCGTTAAACAATTCCCCTCTGACTGCTACTGTGCTAAATGTACCGTCGTACATAGTAATTGTTTCGTCATCTGGTTTACACTCTTTAATATATTCACTAACTATTCCTATGCATTTTGCTGTTTTGGCGCCAACTCTGAAATCTGCTCGGATGTAAATTATCTCTAGATATACCAAATCTTGAATTAGGAGACAGGGTGAGGTAAAACCTAAAAAATTAAAGTTAAAAACTTTGAAAATACTTGAAACCGATCCAACAAATTTATTGAAAAACGTCACCAGAAGTGCCACTGTGTATATTGTGATCAACGTTCGTACGCGTGTTGTTACTACGATTTCTACGGCGACAGCAGGAATGAAAAATATTATAAATCCGAATTATACGTTCTACAGCTACCCTGTGGCCTGTAAAAACCGAATACGATGTAGTTTTCCTACGCTCGCCACAGATTTAATAGATCTGCGGACGACGTACTGCTGCCGTACGATAAATGTGACTAGGGTGTAAACCTTCACTTTCTCTGCATTATACTCTTGTCTTATTAAATATCTTGATCTTGTTGATCATTGAGTCAGCGGTATTTAAACAGCTTACTTTTGAGGCCTATTCCCACATAGACGAAAACCGCCCGACGTCAACTTGCGTGTACTGGCCTGGTGAATAGGAATGTAGCGACCCGGGTTGGCTTTTGTATGGGATTTCAATCATTTTCCACCTTGATTTTGCCCGCTGCTTTGTGCCATGGTAAGCCTTTAACTTTATAATTTAAGGTTCCCTGTAAATCTGGTTTTTAATATTGGGGAAACATACTTATAGCCACTTTTATACTTTTCGCGGGGTAATTTTATGTAAGGTATCATTTTCCTGGTCTTTGTAACCATATTTTTATATTCTTAAACTCAATTGAGGCGCTGAGCTAATTTAATTTCACATTTTTAGGCCGGAGGTGGCCAGTTCTTTTTGACATTTTCAGGCAGAATTCAATTGATAGTTGATTTTAGTATTTGTAAAATCTGTGCCCATCCATACTCTGGAGGGTTGCAGTCTGATTTATTTTTAGTGCAAATTGGGCTAAGATCCCTAATCTTTCTACATCTGAGTATATTTTTGGCTATTTAATTGAGCTTTGAGAGTTTCTGCCAGTTTTCATTCCGATTGTATTGCTTAGCGCTCATTTGAGTTCAGGGATATTTCACTACCTCAGAGCATAGTATCATTACTGCTCGCTGAGACTCAGGGTAATCTCAGAACAGTTGAGCGCCATTTAAAACAGAGATCTTATTTTGCTTCATATTTTCTTAGAATCTCATGAAACTGAAAGTAAAACTCTTGATCAAATTATTTTGGAACGAGATCTGAATTCAATACCATATAAGGTAGTTTTCTGAACACAGCATTATTACAGTATTATTAAAGATTAAAACGCAATATTATATTCACTCGCATAACCATTACATTTTGTGCCTTTGAAACTTTATTACTATTTGGACTGGTGCTAATATTTTTCTACATTTTTATACTGCTGATATTTTTATATAAATCTTGCATTAAGTAACCAGGTGCTCCTGTTGCTCCCTCAGGAGCTGGAATTTTGTGTCGTTTACTTTCAAGGGGCGATTAACTGTTCTACCCATAGCGCCTTGATATCGCCTTCAAAGGCTGGAATTTTGTACCTTTTTACCTTTCAGGCGCTCATATCTCAGCTTTGTATAATAGTGTAAATTTGAAGTCTTATAGTTCCATAGTTTGTATTTTTCGACTAGTCAGGTTCATTATTATCTCACAGTCAGTGAAAAGTAATTTTGATAAAAGTATATTTTATTTATTTTTGTAAAATACAAGATTTACATACAATTAAACAATCATCTTAAGAACTTACTCATTTTGTCGTGTTATAGTTTGTGGTAATTGAGCTGGTTAAGATTAAATCCACAAAAACTCCCCTTAGATTAAAGCCATTTCAATCATCTTCACATTTTACTGGGTCCCCTGATTCCTTCACATAGCCATTTGTTCAATTAGTAATTCCATTTAAATGGGGCAGCACTGCATAAAAAGCTTTTAGTACATTTATTGGTTTCATTTCTCCATACATCCTTTTATTTTATATTCTTACCTAAAGGGGGCAGCACCTTATTGAATCACTTAAAAACAACACAGCTCCATTCATCCCATTTTCGAACTTACGCCAACCGTTCTTTTCACGCTACCACAATGTAATTTGTACAGGGGTAACTTTGTGAATAGTTTTTGTGCATCATTCCCCTGTACGTAGCAGTGTCGGGAGACTGTCCTGAGCTGCTACATTGGTGGCAGCGGTGTGATTGCCCTTGTGAATCAGTTACGACGGGACGTCGTCTTCTAGGGGGGGGGGGGGGATGGTGTAATGACCTTTGATAGCAAGTCGCTACTACAGTCTCAGCTGTAGTGGCTAGCCTTTATGGCTCAGGGGTAGAGCGTCTGACTCTGAGAGCGGAAGGTCCTGGGTTCGATTCCCGTACAGGGCATTGAATTTAGCACATTCTCTTTCGGGTCTAGTATCTGGCTCGGTACACTACAGCTCCCCGACGAGCGTGCCCAAGGGTCGTTACATTGGTGTCAGAAGTGGGATTGCCCTTGTGAATCAGTTACGAAGGGACGTCGTCTTCTAGGGGGGATGGCGTAATGACCTTCGATAGCAAGTCGCTACTACAGTCCTTGGTTCGATTACCGTACGGGGCATTGAATTTAGCACATTCTCTTTCGAGTCTAGTATCGCTACACTTCAGCTCCCCAAGGGTCGTTACAGGACTAAAATTCGTTCCCATTAATGTTGTACGTCGTTGGTGGTGTTCGTATGTGGAAGAACCCTTTCGAAAAGCTTCGGACGACTTCGAAAGCATGCGCAAAGTTACACTTTGGTTCCCATATCTATGTTCCCAAAATTGACACTTTACAAAGTAAAGGTCGCAAGGCTACATTTGGTTGATTAGTTCATATGTGAGGAGGCTTGAAGAATAAAGTGTTTTACCCATCACTTCACCGTCAATCGTATGCGTATCCCCATACAGCTCTAATAACATCTGGAATGTATAGCACCATGTTCACATTTCTCTACAATATGGCAGGCAAAAAGGGATACATGTAGTTGCCACCTAAATTCATGAAATACTGACATGGATTTAATATGTCTGAGAAACGCTTTTCAGCAACTACCCTGATACCTTGAACTGTCATCACTACTTTTGACCTGATTTGACCTACTTCACGGAAACAGCTGAGTAGCATTTTTTGTGTTTTACATGTTACATGAACACTTTCATATTTATGAAATCCTAGAAGGGCCAACTGAACCCCTCCCCCTGGCGGACAAAGATGTTAGGTGTAGGGTTGTAGGCATTTGATAGTAGTTGTAAATAATGTTTTGTATGTAAAATATGAATGTTTTCTTTCAATGTAGCATCTTGGTATCCTGCATAAATCGTTTTGCACATACATGTATAAAGACCTATATTGTCTCATAGCCTCCGACTGTGTCTTACCTTTCTTATGCTGTAATCATTCGTCCATCCAGCCATAGCTTCCCAGGTTAAGGCCAACTTTATGTCATTATGCGTCATATGCCTCAGGTGAACTTGACATATTTTCTAATATTTTCAACAACAGAACGTCTCTTGATCCTCACATAAACTCCGATAGGGAGCGTGGCCTTCATTTTCAATACTGATATAAGTTGTATGCTTCCCAGCACATACTATGTGACCAGCATAATGCTGATAAGATTGGACTTAAATTGGACTTATGGATTTCCCATACAGTGTGCAGATCTTCCCTCTGCACAAAGAGGACATATATGCGTCTAAATTATTAGTTGAAGGTGTGCAATGTAAAGTGTAAATGCAAAACAATACTAATCATGTTAAGGTTGTTTTAGTGTATTTCTTTTTTTTCTATAATGATGTAGAACCAGAAAAATATTCATCTTAAGTACAATGAAATAAAATTAGAATGTAATACTGTTGCTATGAGTGATGTCATTTGGACGAAGAATTGTCAAAAATCAGCTAGAAAGGCCGATCATTACAGGTATATGCACCACCATATGTTAAATACAGACGTGGACTAACGTGATTAACACATCGATGTTATTCAATTAAAAATTAGTCAAACAGATCGTTAAACATCATGACGTCATCGTGAATCGTTAACTTTCGAGAAACGGAAAAATCTTTAACAACAATTGAATCAACGATTAGTTAATAACGATTTGTCAATTTGTCTCCTGAGAGGGGGGTGCTGCCTTTTGTATTGAGGCCCTATGTAGGTGAATGCAGATACATTCAGGCATCTACCTGCCCTTCTTCACTTTCTGTGGTTCTTGTGCTGAAAATATACAAAAATATACAATATATAAGCACAAATGCCAAAAGGGAGGGTGACTAAAAACGTTAAGGAAACCCACCAGGAAAAGCAAACAGTAAGTGTAAATCTGTCATAAGAAAAGTAGACCCTATATATCCAAAAACCATGATCTAACGTGAAAAGAAACAATGTCTAACATCCCCCTCCCCCCTCCAATCGATAACCAATATCACAATCCAGGACCAGAACACCAAGGGACATTTCATTCATACTGAAGTCATTACAATACATGTTGAAGAAAAATTGAAAAATTGATAGCCAATACTCATAACATCAAAAATAGTTGTAGATACTAGTACTCATAAAAGATAGAGCATCCAGTCTCAAATAATGCGGGATAGATAAAATCCAGTCTCCAAGTCCATAAGCGTTTCAAAGGGTCAACATCCATTCACAAAAGCCGTCGCCATAATCCATAAAACACAATAATTCACGATGGTCATCAGGAGAAGACTATGGCTGGTTTCGATCCCTATTTCTCAACCATTAATGCCATAGCCGGGAACCACCTCAAAAGGTGCCAAGTGAAAAAATTGTGAGTTCATTGCCAATTTGTTATACCATTCCTACATCCTTCAGCATCTCAAGGGGTAAAATTTGAAATTTCAAAATTAATGACTTGTGTTTTTCAGCAAAGCCCAGAAAGGATTTCTTAAGTTTTTTACAAGTATAACCTTGTCCTAACAGCTTGGTCACTAAAATGTGGTGTCTTGATTTGAAATCTAGATATTTTGAACACGCCCTACTGTATCTAATAAGCTGGGATAAGACCATACACCCATCTACATTTACCTTTAAAATCTGGGAAACGAAAGTGCAATTTTGGATTCCGGTTGCTAAAGTTACGAAGAGGTTTAATGTGTGTATTGATATAATGAAAATAAAAATAAAGATAATTTAACAGATAAAATATAATATCATTTATTTACCAGCATCTTCTGAAGTGCATCTTTCCGTACTGTTGCGAGTTTAGCGTTTCTGCATCGTCTATCGTTTCTAACAGATCACTATCACGTGTTTCCGGTAGCCAAAGAGTAGCCACACCAGCTAAAGCGGACACAGCACCAAACAAGACCATTGGAACACTCTTATTGGTCGCACCTCCCTGAACAAAATGTAAAAAGCATATGGGCGTAGTCAGGTCATGAAGCAGTCGAGGCCTCGGCAAACATTGCACAAACAGGATGATTCAGAGTTTTTCTGCTTATTGAAACTGTGAAACATAATGACAACGTAGTAAACGAGTGAATCGAATTGGTGTGAAAGGCATGATGTACTAGGTAACCAAAATTATATTCAAATAGTAATGAGGCAAAAACCAATACAATACGATATATATATATACGTATATGTACCAGGTATATGTTATAAAGGATACAGACGTTAACATTATTTTACTTACGAGAAGAAGTACATATGGAGCAATTATTGATCCGATCCTTGCCACAGCAGAGCCAGTTCCAGTTGCGTATGCCCTGAGAAATGTAGGGTATGCCTCTGGGGTGTAAATCCACACCGTGCTGAAGGCAGCAGCTATTGCCAGCTTTCCAGTCATAGCAAATGCAATAATCACGTATTCTAAAGCTGATAGAAAACTCGATGTTAACAGTTTGAGTGGAATGTTCAAAGAAATTTTGTCATCAAGGTAATCGCGCATGTTAATTTTCATAAAGTTTTGTGATAACAATTATCAAAAATAAAATTGTTAATATTTTCTAAAGTTTGATGAGCAACGTTGTATCCATAACGATACAATATGAAAACATGGTATCATAGCAATATCAAGGGTCATGGATCTCGAACACCAATGCATGAGCACACTATGAATTCCTTCTGGACTTAAAACCGATCCACTTACAAAAATAAGCCACGGGCCTGACACAAACATATATCAAGAAGTGGAATGAGGTATAACGTATACTTACATTTACGATCTTTTGGTAGAGCGCTGATCAGGAGAAGCGCAACACCTGCCACGAGCAAGAAGCCCATCATTGGTAACCTCCTACCAATCTTCATGGTTATGAATATTACCAGTGTATTACCCAATATGTCCATGCAGCCAGAAATGATTTGATTAATATAGGGGTCGCCACCGATATTTCCGGTATTCAAACTGAGACCGTAGAACACAAATGCAGTTGCAAACCTGAAATAATACAATGACATATGTAAAGTCAAAATGAAATAAATATTCAATTCGATCAAGAATATTTTATCAATAATTGAACTTAAGCCTCAGTCAAATTTGTTTTACGGCGATCGGGCGGCGGGCGTAGCCTCACAAAATCGATCAAATGTACATCGTACTGCTTATACCTATATTTTATGTTGCATAATTCTCTCGATTTTTGGAAGCTACGGCCGTCGTACGGTTGCTGTAGACCAAATGTGACCGGGGCACTAAATAAGTGGATTCGTCAAACTCAACTTACCATACAACGGAAAAAATCAATGTACTGCGTCGTAAATACTTTGTCAAAAACAGATCTGTCAATTTTGGCTCATGAATCAGGTGTTCTGGTTTCTCAGTGACGTCATCTTCGAGAGGATCCGCCTTTGTGTCTAACAGTGACATCTACAATGGCAAAGAGTATATAACTGAAACAGACCAAATGGATGTTGACCCTTTGATAATATGGACGAGATTGGTTTTTTCTGTCCCACATGATATGAGACTAAATGTTTGTCCCTTGATGTTATGGTCTCGGATTGTGATATTGGTACTTGAATTGTAGGGGAGGGAGTATAAGACATGGTTTATGTTCACGTTCGATAATGATTTGGGATTCGGGTTTGTTTTCCTTATAACTGGTGTACTCTAAAATGCTCTTTAGCCATTTTTCCCTGTTGCACATGTGCATGTAATTTGTTACAAATGATAAAAATGATTCAATTTGAGACAGCTATAAAATTACAAGGAATGTGCAAACTCTTCAAAATATAGAATACATTTTAAGGAGTTGACTGAAATTACTCGATCAATAGTTTTTTTTATCTCTGTCTTGCTTGATGTACACCCATGTAACTTCAGAGCGCTGCGTCTTCTTAACATATTTCAATACGTGTGATGATATATTAACCTCTTGTTCCAGTGATTTTTCTAGTTTAACTCCATTTACTTTCGCCATAGTCTTAACGACCTTTATTCCATCTTTTACTCGTCCTTTACTAAAAAGCCAGCGTGGTGATTCAGAAAATATGCTAATAAAACAAGAGAAATAATATTTTATTTAGAATTCATTTTTTGTATAAACATATATTATATTCATAGTTTATTTTATTATATGGAGTGCAATACATGTTCCCCATAACCCCCTATCACCCCAAACTAGTTCTTACCCGTCCTGCGAAAACGGGCGAAATCTGGTTTTGGTCGGGAAATATGTCTATAATAATTAGCTTTTTCGTTCATAAACATTCTTCAATACGTCCATCTCATTCGCAGTTCGTTCAGGTCACACCACGTCGGTATGCAACGTCGTATAACGCGTCCCTTAGTCTAGAAGGTCATCATGACCTGATTACAGAACGGTATGGTCGCCATCGAATTTTGAATCGATTCAAAATTCTAAATCACATTCCCCGTCCAGGAAAGTCCATGAAGTTCGTAAACAGACCGTAAAACTTTGTAGCTACGGTCATTCCGTTCGCACACAGTTTAAAACCAATTTTGAAGAACGCAGTGGCAACTTGTTTGGTGTGAAAGCTATATTTTTGCTAACTCATTCACAAGCAGTCTTAAATACGTTCTTAATCAGTAAAAAAACCGTTTGCAATTAGTTCTACCTCGTTCTCAATACGTAATCAGACAGTGCAGTAAAACGTTTCTAGTAGGATTGAAGTACGACGGTTCCGTACGTAGTACGTCCAGCTCATCGTTAGTACGTTGTCACTCGTTCTAATTGTAGAACATATCGACCACGAGAAACATTTTGTGCATGTTCTAAGTTCTAGAGGACCTACCCGTTCGAATAAGTTCGATGAAGTTTGTAAATAGACTCCAAACGGTTCTAAGTACGTCCAGTCCGTTCGTACACAGTTGGAGCCCGTTTTCGAGAACGTAGTGAAAATAGTTTGGTGTGATAGTAGGGTTTTGACTTCTAAGAATACAGGCTTCAATATTAACTGGAAGTGCGAGGTATATTTTTGATCCGAGCGATCGGGATTAGGTGATTCTAGCAACGAAACATTTCAGGGGGAATTGATATTGTGCCACTTAATATAAATAAAATATTTTCCACTTCTTATCCTGGTATTTATACATAAAATAGGATACATAGTTAAAGATCAAAATATTCCTATCTAATGACGGACCTACCTTACCCTACTATCACACCAAAATAGTTCTCACTACGTTCTCGAAAACGGGTTTAAACTGTGCACGAACGGATTTGACGTACTAAGAACCAACTAAGAACCGTTTGGGATATGTTTACAATCTTCATGAAACTACTAGAACGAGTAGGTCCTCCACAACTTAGAGCATGCTCAAAATGTTCTGGTGATCGTCAAAACGTTGCCGAATCGGTATTAAACTGTGTGCGAACTGAATGAACGTAGCTACAACGTTCTACGGTCTGTTTACGAACTTCATGGACTTTCCCAGACGGGAAATGTGATTTAGAATTTTGAATCGATTCAAAATTCGATGGCGATCATGCCGTTCTGTTATCAGGTCATGATGACCTTCTAGACTAAGGGACGGTTTACACTACGTTGCACTCCGACTTGGTGCGACTTGAACGAACTGCGAATGAGATGGACGTATTGAAGACTGTTTATGAACGAAGTAGCTAATTATTTTAGACATATATCCCGACCGCAGCCAGATTGAGCCCGTTTTACGACATTTTCGTAGGACTGGCAAGAACGGGTAAGAACTAGTTTTGTGTGATAGGGGGGTTATACAATAAAAATAGCACTAACAACATATAAACGAGGAATATCGCCATTGGACAAGATGAAGCCAACTGTACACCTCGCCAAGTTCTCACTCCATATCCTATTCCTCCTAGTACCATTTGACCAACAGCGAACCCATTAGAGAACATGATAGAAGCGGTTACACGCCACTTTTTGCTCACTATCTCTAAAACTAAATTGAAAACACTATAAAAAGACTAGCCGGACACATGAAAAATGCTATATCTGTTTTTATCCACTATTAAAGAACGAACACAAATGCATATTTCGACACGTTCTTAGGGCTATATAGTACGAATACAAGTGCTGTACTACTTACTCCAGATGGAAAGAGCCGTAACAAGCCCAGAGAAGAGAAATGCAATGAGGAATCGGCTGATCGCAAAGACAATATAGTTAGGGGAGTAGGCCGATCCAATTGCGATAACAAGGTGCGTAACTAGGGTGACAACAACCATAATCTTTCTTCCATATCTACAATTTTTCAGATTTTTTAAGGGTATTATCAGATCTAGTGAGCAACATTAATAAAAGTTAGTTGTTCCATTTTGTTATAAAGGCAAAACGAAGTTATTTTTTATTATCAAAAAACGAAAGTGGCAGGAAGACGTACTAATTATATTATTTGAAATAACGCATATTTTGATCGGTATTAAGAGTCGAGGATAATTATCAGGAGCCTTCGTTAAAATGTTTAAAAATAATAATGAAAATCGACCATTTTGCAATTTCTGAGTTCAAAAATAATTTATGCGAAAATCTTGTGAAAACGACCGGTTTCCAGACATAAACTGAATAAGGCGATGTCATCCCCTGACACTGGATATATTGCAATTTATTTTTTGGTCCCTTTGATATGTCAAGTCTTATTTAATTGAACCATTCTATTAATGTTTTACGCGGCAATGTGGATTGGCTCCCAGAATGCAACATGATACGTGTCAGCTTTCAAAATGCCGTTCCGCCATTTTGAAATCGGTCATGAGTAAATAAGGTTACCTGATGTTGCATTCTGGGAGTCAATCCTCCTTGGATCACAAACATGGCGATTCATGAAACATTCGTTCGATTTTGTAGGGATTTATCCATCATTTACAGGTATGAAGCTTTGGATTCATTTAGTGTGCTACTTAAAGTCAATGGGAATAATTTTTCTACCGCTTGGGAGAGTTTGAGACACGAAAATTTAGCTCATTGTGACAACTTTTGAGGGTTGAGATTTATTTTTGCACCCCACTTTAGGTTAATTTTTCAAACACGACTGTTCACTGTTCAAATTGGGAGGTGTTCACATTCGAAGGTTTTTAACATTTGAGTCAATGGGAGGAAAAATGGGACCAACAAATGTTCAAATTGGGAGGTGTTCAGATTAGTCAAGTGTTCATATATACAGGTTTTACTGTAATACAATTGTTTCCAATCTTTTGGAGGAAAGTGTACATCATTCCAGAGAAATGACAGGTGACACACTGCCATGTGAACTGGTCAAATCAGATGTCCCCACGCTTTACGTCCAGAAGAGGTCAAATATACATGGTTATGTAAGGGCATAGCTAGCAAATGACAAGGAGGTGCAGCATCATATACGCAAAAACGCCATGGCATACTCTCAAAATTAAGAGAAATTTGATTTTTTATCTTGTAAACAACAGTCAATTTTTTAAAAACAACTTGCAAAAATTGCCTTGCCTGCTGCTAATGAAACCCCTAAATATTCTGATAAATTGGCTAATAGAAGTGCATTCTAATCCAGTTATTATTGAATTCGCTTCGATTTTGGAATTTACAGATCTGATATTTATTGACTACTAAATTTTTAGTTGGTTTTCTTTAATGACGCAATGTGGGTATGTGGAACTTGATATGTGTATATCCTGCCGACCCTGCAAAATAATGGACTTGCCCACTTGGTCTCTTGGATCCACTTGTAAAATATATAAACCTTTCAAAATGGAAGACGGGGAGGACACCACTCCCAAAAAGAGCCAGAATACGAAAAATGCAAGGTTTGTCTCGTTCTTAAGATAGTACTATTCTGTGAAGATGAACTTTATTTACTCATAGTGTGTAATGTTGTTCCCGATGTAGAACTAGTTATCTCAATATAACCCTACTATCACACCAAACTAGTTCTCACTACGTTCTCGAAAACGGGCTTCAACTGTGTACGAACGGACTGGACCTACTAAGAACCGTTTGGGATATATTTACAAACTTCATCGAACGTACTCGAACGGGTAGATCCTCTAGAACTTAGACAATGCTCAAAATGTTCTCGTGGTCGTCACGTTCTACAATTAGAACGAGTGACAACGTACTAACGACGAGCTGGACGTACTACGAACGGAACCGTCGTACTTCAATCCTACTAGGGACGTTTTAACAACGAGTTGAACTGTCTGAGGACGTGTTGAGAACGAGGTAGAACTAATTGCAAACGGATTTAAACCGATTAAGAACGTATTTAACACTGTTTATGAACGAGTTAGCAGAAATATAGCTATCACACCAAACAAGTTGCCACTGCGTTCTTCAAAACTGTTTTTAAACTGTGTGCGAACGGAATGAACGTAGCTGCAACTTTCTAAGGTCTATTTACGAACTTTATGAACGTTCTCAGACGGGAATGTGATTTTAGAATTTTGAATCGATTCAAAATTCGTTGGCGACCATACCATTCTGTAATCAGGTCATGTTGACCTTCTAGACTAAAGGACGCGTTCTACGACGTTGCACACCGACGTGGTGCGACCTGAACGAACTGCGAACGAGATGGACGTATTGAAGACTGTTTTAGAACGAAGTAGCTAATTATTTCAGACATATTTCCCGACCACAGCCAGATTGAGCCCGTTTTACGACGTTTTCGTAGGACTGGCAAGAACGGGTAAGAACTAGTTTGGTGTGATAGGGGGGTTAGGGACTTAAGTAGCTTCTGCGTTCACAGTGCTACAATGTAAGTTATATTTATGTCCTTTTATCGTCATTTGGCATTTATTCAGCCATTGTATCTATGTATGCTAGAATATATAGTCTCACTCCATCTGAATAAAGCAGCAAAGTTTGTGTTCAAAACGTTAATACGCCATAAACGTGACTTGAACATTTTTTCCTGTCAAACTGCGCGCCTATATTCACATGTAATTCCTAAACTGCGTGCCTGATATTTCCAACGGCGTGTCTATCCAATCTTTTATCGTAGCAATACAGAGGATCACACGATAAAAACGTTATTGAATGATTTGAAGTGCAATACATGATATATTCTGCCTCGATATTCTGAATTGGCACTCGACTTCGTCTCGTTCCAAGACGGAATTTCTCGAGCAGAATCCTGTATTGCACTTCAAATCATTCAATAACTTATAGTATTTTCAGAAAACGTAAGCAACACTCCCTCTCCCTTTACCAGAAGAAGTCAGCAAAACGCAAAACTTGCCAGATACGAAGATAGTATGCCCAGCGATTCTCCCAAAGCTCCTCAAATAATGACACCGCCTACAGATTTCATAGCACCTACATATGCCTCTGTAGATATTCCAATTACAATATAAGGTATTGAATGATTTGAAGTGCAATACAGGATATATTCTGCTCGAGAAATCCCGTATTTAATGTATTTAACACAGAAAATCTAGACAGAATATAATATATCCTGTATCGCACTTCAAATCATTCAATAACGTTTTTATCGTTTGATCCTCTGTATTGCTACTGAGATTGTCCCCTCCGAACCAATATTTTCTGTATTGCAATGGAGATGATCAACAGGGACAATCTCAATAGCAATACAGATTGGTACAGCACAATAACTGACCAATCAGAAGGCTTCATTTTACAGATCATACGATAAGTACAGGGTGTCCCAGAACTCATGAGAATCTTTTGAGGGAGATATAAGGCATGAGTGATTTTTCTTCAAATTTGGTACACTTATTAAACACACTTTGGGGAATAACTGACATGAATTTAAGGCACATATTTTTATAGTTCCGAATTTATTGACATTTGAGTTCTACATCGCCACAAACCCCGGAGTTATCGGGAAAATACAACAGTTATTGTCACATTTTGTCAATTTTATACAAATTCTCAACTATAAAACTAACGTTTTTTGTAAATGCTCATTTGAGCATTTTCCTCATATCGATGATGCACTTTAATAAAACGATATATAAATTTTGATGGAGACCCAATCCATCAACGGATTGAACATTTGGTTTGCTGAAAGATCAGAATGACATGTTCCTGAGGGACTGAAAGAAATGTCCCCATTTGCTAGTCAATATGATCTTGCATATTGACAATGCACCAGTGAATAAGTCACTACAATGTACATGCATGTCAGTAGTGCATCCAATTTACTTTCTATTGAGACTTTACAGTATATGGTAGCTCCATATACTTGCCAGATTTTGCTCTACTAGACTTTTCATTTCTTTGGGGACCTTAACAAAGATAAGTTAGCCATGTCACTGAAACGGAGGAAGAATTGAGTCATGTTATTTCAGGGGACCCTAAAGAAATGGCTATAGAACGATTTGGGAATGTGTATTAAGAGTAGCTGAAATGACATCAACTGCAGATAATATGCTATAATAACTCTGTAGAGATACGTTAGCTGAATGTGTATGATCCTATTAACTAATGTACCGAAACGCCGAAATAATTCAATGAAAACAATACTAAAATATAGTAGAGAAATTGTGTAAATATTATCAAAATGTGACGTAAATTGTTGTATTTCTCTAACTACTCCGGGGTTTGTTGGCGATGTAGAATTCAAATGTCAATAAATTCGGAAATATAAAAGATATATGCCTGACATTCATGTCAGTTATTCCTCAATGTTTGTTTATTAAGTGCACTTAATTTGAAGAAAAATCATTCATGCCTTATATCTCCCTCCAAAAATTCTCATGAGTTCTGGGAAACCCTGTACGTATACACATGTATGTAGTTCAGATAATGTATGTGCGCAGTTTGTAATTTATGGATAAAATAAGCGCGCGGTTTGTGCTTTATTTCATCTCCCGATTAACTGTTTTAACTCGAAATATTTTGAATTGCACATGATAACTGGGTAATGATTTACATATAAAATTAGCCTGAAGTATTTGTCATTTGTGTTTAAAGTGCTAGATCGATTTATGTATAAATTCCCGTTAAATCGGTGACGAAAATGCCATTAATCTGCTTAAATATGTTTTAAAACATAGATTCATTTGCACATATCTTTTACTAGTTTTTTCAAGATTCATATATTCGCCACAGAATGAACGCATTAAACAAGAAAGCAATGCAGTCTAAATGCCTTCAAATTACGTTTAAAAATACAGACTCCAACTTGAATGATGCGATGTTGTTAGGCGCGCACTTTGTGATCGAAACAAACTGCGCGCCTAAGTAGGCGCGCAGCTTGACATGGGCACCGTGATACATACCTGTCACTAAGGTAACCACAAATAATAGAGCCAAACAATCGTCCTGCCATATATATCGATTGAGTGGTTGGACCCAAGACACGGTCATTACAAACGAGGTCCCACTGAAAGTAAACGATGTGGTTAGCCACAAGAGTCAGGTGGTAATAATGAAATACACAATTAGTGTATCCATTTCACGCACTTCAATAATTTCAACGTTGATGGCAAATATTTGGGGTTCATGGTGTCATTATAAAAACGGGTGGAAGAGAAGTCATAGTATGCAATGAATAAGGGCAAAAATTGTTTTTAAATATTGTTTGACTGCTACCGGTACTTCAATTGATCCACAAACCAGTAACGATATGTCTCTTGCGCATCTTCCACTCGACCCATCTCCTTAACCCAACGTTCAATAATCTTCACTTGAAGTATTTCATTGAATTGATACTCGTGCGAACTTGCCAGAGTATGGTTAAATACATTTATCAAAAGCAATATTCTTATTTTGATATACTCACCTCGGATATAATGGTTGTCTGGTATATACTCGTAGCATACAACCACCCGCTACATTCCTCAATGGGCAAATCGTCGGGTTGTGTATAGTTCTCTTTGATATATTCATCAAGCCAGAGTTGCACATCATTTTTGCCGATCGAAGAATAGTTCCGACGAAACTGTCCGCATTTCATGTATTCACGTGTTCCATCTTTCACTTCATACGGTATGGTGTAATTTTTCAGTTCATCTTTGGTAAGATTAAACGCAGATAACTCAGCCGATGGTGCACAAAAATGGTCTTGCTTTGCACCAATGTAGACATAGTTGATATTATGGAACGCCGATGGGATCTCAATTAGTGCTAATAAGAATATAGCAAGTATTTGGTACCTTCCCATTCCTCCAATTTCATCAAGGATTCCATCGAACGTCTTCATGTTTGCGTTTCAAGTACCCGCAGTGCGTTGTTTTATCGTTTTATATATGGTCGTTTTCATATTAGGTTTAATGTAGTTATACAGGGTGTTCAATAAGTATTGCTAATTTTGTTATAACTTTTGTTATCTTGCATATTCCTTCATGAGACTTTTACAACTTAAGCAACACATATCTGACCTTATTCTATCTAAATTTCTGGACAAACGACTAAGAATTGACAAAGTTATGGTTACTAGAGTAACCATTGTCACGGATACGCGGGGCAACCTTAAGGGTTTACATGATGAATTATTGTTATACATCAAATAAACACTTTGATTTATAAAAACTGTTGATATGGTCAAATCTTGATGTTGTCAGTTTGAATTATATGTATTATCTAACAGCGGTGAAAAGAGATCTGAGAGGAATATCGCACTAGAATCTCAATCAGCCGATGTCTGCAGTGAACACTGCACATCCCTATATAGCCACACTACGGAAAGCGAAAGGGGATATACCGCAGAATTTAAAATTCAATGGAGTTTTAACATGGGAGTGATATCACACACCGCGGCCCAGTCAGATAGATTTCTGCGCACTTTATTTATTTAATTCACTTTGCACAACGCGCCCCCTGTAATTCATTCAGTGCGCAATTAAAAATTGTTTATGAGTGATATCGCACACCGCGGCCCAGTAAGATCGATTTCTGCGCACTTTATTTATTAACACACTCAAAATATCGCGCTGAAGCTTGTATATGCTGGCGCGATGTAATTATAGTTTTCTGTTAATAAATGCCCAACAAGAAAGGGTAGCACAACGAATTCAACTTTTTTCGAAAGACTGCTGACTTGACCTGCGAAATTGTAATTTTGGATCACAGTGATGCCTCTAGAGAGGATATCTATGAGAATTACTACGGAAAGCTATAGGGGACCTGCGCATAATTCAAAATCGAATGGAGTTTTAACATGGGAGTGATATCACACACCGCGGCCCAGTCAGATAGATTTCATCGCGCACTGAATGAATTACAAGGGCCGCGTTGTGCAAAGTTAATTAAAATAAAGTGCGCAGAAATGTATTCATTCAGTGCGCGATGAAAAAATGATTATCTGTGAATAAATAACGAATAAAAATTCGTGGCACCACGAATTTGATTTTTTTCGAAAGACTGCGGAGTGAACCAGCGAAATGACAATTTTGGATAATATTGATGGCTCCAACGAGGAGAACTTTGAGATTTCCCGATTCTAGCGCGCAGCACATCCAGGACCATGATGCGCACTTTTTTTTATCAGATTCGATTCTAATATGGTTTCAAAGATAATGTTCATTAAAAGAGGGCGTATGCATACAGATTACACGTGGCGTTATGTTGAAGTGACCCTTGCAAAGGGTTCCATTGGAAATATATTATTTTGGGCCATTTCATATCTTTTAATTGATATTGTATAAAATATTTTCAATGTTTGAAAATTATAATCTCATAAATAACATTTTATGTAATAAAACTGTAACGAAATGGTAAATACGGAATATGATGCAATACAATGCAGTGCAATATGATGTTATACAATGCAGTGCAATATGATGCAATACAATGTGGTGCAATATGATGTAATACAATGCGGTGCAATATGATGCAATACAATGCAGAGCAATATGATGCAATACAATGCAGTGCAATATGATGCAATACAATGTAGTGTTATATGATGCAAAAAATGCAGTGCAATATGATACAATACAATGTAGTGCAATATAATACAATAAAATGCAGTGCAATACGATGCAATACAATACAGTGCAATATAATGCAATACAATGCAGTGCAATGCAATACAGTGCAAAACAATGCCGTGCAGTGCAATACAATGTAGTTCATTTCAATACAATGAAGTGCAATACAATGTGGTACAGTGCAATACAATGCAGTGCAATACAATACATCGCAGTTCAATACAGTGCAATACAATGTAGTGCAATGCAGTGCAATAAAATACAATACAGTGCAATTCAATGCAATACAATACAGTGCAATACAAAACAATGCTGTGCAATAGAATACAGTACACTGCAGTACAATACAATGCAGTGCAATAAAATACAATGCAGTGTAATAAAATGCAGTGTAATTCAAGACAATGCAATACAATACTGTGCAATACAATACAGTGCAATATAATACAATGCAGTGCACTGCAATGCAATACAATATGGTGCAGTGCAATATATTGCAGTGCAATTCAAAACAATGCAGTGTAATACAATGCAGTGCAACACAATGTGGTACAGCGCAATACATTATAATGCAGTGCAATACAATACAATGCAGCGCAATACAATGTAGTACACTGCAGTACAATACAATGCAGTGCAATAAAGTACAATGCAGTGCAATATAATATAATACAGTGCAATACAGTACAATATAATGCAATAGAATACAATGCAGTGCAATACAATACAATGCAGTGCAATACAATAAAATGCAGTACAATACAATACAATGATGTGCTATACAATACAATACAATGCAATGAAATGCAATTCAATGCTATGAATGTACACCTTCTACAGTCAAATAAACACAGATAAAATTGTAATAGTATGTTAGTGTATGGAGTTTGAAGTGGGTGGGGGATACAATTACCAGTCTGCTGATTGATGACTTAATAACTTAGAAAAGATCTCCTAGCTTTTAACAGGTGGCACTTATGTCTACCTTATGTTCTTAAACAATCTCGTCTAAGAATACAGACCCGTATCCTGGATTAACGTGGGGGAGTGGTTTTACCAAGGGGGGAGATTTTGCCAAGAGGGGGGGGGAGCTTTTTGACAGTTTTGGCCAAAAAATCATGCGAAAAGTGCTAAGAATGGTGAAAAACTGCATGGTTTTGAACGAATATTTGGCAAGGGGGAGGGGGTGAGGCCCCCTGGCTACGGCCCTGGAATACATATAGGAACTTTCCTTCTCCCAGAAGAAATGGTATACAGGTATTACATCAATCATTCTGGTATTTTGTATACGAAAGTCTGTAGTACACACTTTATTGAAAGATGGCAGTGTACACTGTGTACCACCATTTTGAGGTCAGTTTGACTTTATAATTCTGCGCACTATAATCTGTAATTCTCATAGATATCCTCTCTAGAGGCATCACTGTGATCCAAAATTACAATTTCGCAGGTCAAGTCTGCAGTCTTTCGAAAAAAGTTGAATTCGTTGTGCTACCCTTTCTTGTTGGGCATTTATTAACAGAAAACTATATTTACATCGCGCCAGCATATACAAGCTTCAGCGCGATATTTTGAGTGTGTTAATAAATAAAGTGCGCAGAAATCGATCTTACTGGGCCGCGGTGTGCGATATCACTCATAAACAATTTTTTAATCGCGCACTGAATGAATTACAGGGGGCGCGTTGTGCAAAGTGAATTAAATAAATAAAGTGCGCAGAAATATATCTGACTGGGCCGCGGTGTGTGATATCACTCCCATGTTAAAACTCCATTGAATTTTAAATTCTGCGGTATATCCCCTTTCGCTTTCCGTAGAATTACAGATTATAGTGCGCAGAATTATAAAGTCAAACTGACCTCAAAATGGTAATACACAGTGTACACTGCCATCTTTCAATAAAGTAACTACAGACCTTCGTATACAAAATACCAGAATGATTGATGTAATACCTGTATACCATTTCTTCTGGGAGAAGGAAAGTTCCTATATGTATTCCATGGCCGTAGCCAGGGGCCTCACCCCCCTCCCCCTTGCCAAATATTCGTTCAAAATCATGCAGTTTTTCACCATTCTTAGCACTTTTCGCATGATTTTTTTGCCATAACTGTCAAAAAGCTCCCCCCTCTTGGCAAAATTTCCCCCTTGGTAAAACCACTCCCCCAGGTTAATCCAGGATACGGGTCTGTATTCTTAGACGAGATTGTTCAAGAACATAAGGTAGACATAAGTGCCACCTGTTAAAAGCTAGGAGATCTTTTCTAAGTTATTAAGTCATCAATCAGCAGACTGGTAATTGTATCCCCCACCCACTTCAAACTCCATACACTAACATACTATTACAATCTTATCTGTGTTTATTTGACTGTAGAAGGTGTACATTCATAGCATTGAATTGCATTTCATTGCATTGTATTGTATTGTATAGCACATCATTGTATTGTATTGTACTGCATTTTATTGTATTGCACTGCATTGTATTCTATTGCATTATATTGTACTGTATTGCACTGTATTATATTATATTGCACTACATTGTACTTTATTGCACTGCATTGTATTGTACTGCAGTGTACTACATTGTATTGCGCTGCATTGTATTGTATTGCACTGCATTGTAATGTATTGCACTGTATCACATTGTGTTGCACTGCATTGTATTACACTGCATTGTTTTGAATTGCACTGCAATATATTGCACTGCACCATATTGTATTGCATTGCATTGCAGTGCACTGCATTGTATTATATTGCACTGTATTGTATTGCACAGTATTGTATTGCATTGTCTTGAATTACACTGCATTTTATTACACTGCATTGTATTTTATTGCACTGCATTGTATTGTACTGCAGTGTACTGCATTCTATTGCACAGCATTGTTTTGTATTGCACTGTATTGCATTGCATTGTATTGAATTGCACTGTATTGTATTTTATTGCACTGCTTTGCACTACATTGTATTGCACTGTATTGAACTGCGATGTATTGTATTGCACTGTATTGTATTGCACTGCACTGAACTGCGATGTATTGTATTGCACTGTATTGTATTGCACTGCACTGTATTGAACTGCGATGTATTGTATTGCCCACATTGTATTGCACTGCATTGTATTGAAATGAACTACATTGTAACTGTATTGTATTTTATTGCACTGCATTGCACTACATTGTATTGCACTGTATTGAACTGTGATGTATTGTATTACACTGCATTGTATTGCACTGTACCACATTGTATTGCACTGCATTGTATTGAAATGAATTACATTGTAACT